CTGCGTTTCGTTCCCTGTAACGTTTGCCGCCCCGAAGTGCCACTCTTCTCCAAGGTGGCTCGTCCATGCGGCGGGGTCCGACTCGGAGTGCGTCCAGCCCACGTCCAGCAGCGTTGCGACCACTGCCGAGATGGGTCCATCCACCGCCCTCCACCTGTCCGGACGCGCGCTCGACAAGCGGCGCGAGACTTGTGGCCCTGCCCGCCGCAGGCGGGATAGGGTGTCGGCACGGCCCGTCGGCTCCGCCAGTGGGTCGCACCATCATGCGCTGAACAGCCTCCGCACTCGATGGGCAAATGTTCCACCACCACCACTATATGTCAGATGGGGGAGAGGGGAGGATGAGGAGGTCCCCCTCCTCCTCCTCCTCCTCCTCCTCCTCCTCCTCCTCCTCCTCCTCCTCCTCCTCCTCCTCCTCCTCCTCCTCCTCCCTCTCCTGCCTATGGTAGTGATGGTGGAAAATGGGCCCATCAGCGCTGCCAGGAGCGTTGGGCCCCGCGCCCCGAGCTCCGGCGCCAGGAGAGTGCGGCGGCACAGGGGCCACGCCGCCGACGGACGCCGCTGCTGCGCGCTCCATGCGCCCTCCCAGTCTGCGCCAAGCCCATGGCGGAGGCGCCGTACGGTGGGTTCGTGTCGTGTCGACTGGCGGCGACACCGCCGCGGGCCATCAGGGTTGAACGCCGCCAGTGGCCCGGAATCGGCCCATATGGAACGATCGGGCGCTCGAAGAGTCGCCGATCGTTCAAGGTTAAACGATCCACACGGTGTCAGAAACCAACGCCGGGGTCGTCACGACACGAACCTGCCGTATGAGGCCCGCGGCATGGGGGACATCTGTGTCAACAGCCTTGTCGCCCTCCTCGCTGCCGAAGTGCCGAAGTGCCCTCCGCGCGAGCTTCTTCATCCGCCCCCAGGCGCGCTGCCCGGCCACTGCGGTTGCCGCGACGAGAGTGGCCCCCCTCTCGAAGCCACGGTCCAAACGAGCGCCCTTGAGCCGCACTTGTATTCCGCGCCAGGCGCACTCGGAGACCACGTCCGCGCCGACGTCGCGGGACGAGGCGACCGAGGCGACCACAGCCGATTTGATCGAGATCTCGAGCTGTAACTCCCGCGCCTCGGCGGCGAAATCGGCCGCAGCAGCGCCGAGGGTCCTTGCTACGACAGGCGGGGCCCTCGTGTCGGAAATTTACGTCGTCCACCCACCGGCCAATTGTCATTCCCTGTACCCCGTAATTGGAGTGCAGCCGCTCCAAGAAGTCGTACAATAAGGCACCGTGCGTAGTGGCTTGCCGACCACTCGCCTGTCAAGACGGAGCACGTAGGCAGAATCGGCATCGACACCCCGCCACGCGACCGTAGCAGCCGCGGCACCAGGTACGCCAGGGCGATCAGCCCCACGCAGTGTGCCGTGCCGGGAATTCCAGGGTCCCAGGCCGAGCGCCCGCTCGAGCGTCGTGATCGGGTCGAGGGAGTCGTGGGACTCCGCAACGTCCCACCGTAGGGTCGCGTGCGCGTTGCCCAGGCACTCGTCCACCTCGTCGCGAGGCAAGCGCCGGAGGCCCGCTCGGAGGGCAGAGGAGCTGCCCACCGCCTCGTCCCAGAAGCCGGCGCACTGGTCCCGCCATGCGGTTCTCAGAGGCCGAGCAGCGATGCCCCCCCCAGGCGCGGAGCACCCAAGGAGGGAAGGCGACCCCCCCTCGCACCCGCGGCTGGCTCGTGCTGCCATGGCCATGGCAAGCGCAACTCGCACTCGGCCTGGAGCTCCAGGAGGCTCTCCTGCAGTGCCCTCGGGGCCGCCCGCAGATCCGCTGGCCCGAGATTGTCGGACCCGCGCCCTGTGCGGGCCCTGAGCCCCGCCAACGTGGCCCCGGAAGTGTCGACGTCCAGAGCCCGCCATTCCTGCTCGGCGGCTGCCACGCAGCACTGCTGGAGCAGCCGCTCCAGCCGCGGCGCAGTGGCTGCGCCTCGCCATCGTTCTGCCCAGCCCTCGCGCTTCTCCGCCATCATCCCTGAGGGATCGGCGGCCCGGCCACAATCCTGGGCAGCCAGCGGCCGCGGCTGGAACCCGCGCATCGCCCCGCTCGGCTGACTCGCCGCTGCCTGACAGAGCCAGGCTTGGAGCTCCCGGAGCCGCGCCGGTGCCTCTGCTCGTGGCTGAAGAGACGGGGGTCAATGCAAACGGGGTCCAGTCAGAGCGCCGGATCTTGCAGGATCCTGCATTGCCGGGGTCGCATTGAACCTGGGCTTGGGTGCAGGACCCAGCAGGATCCTGCAGGATCTTGCAAGATCCTGCAAGGCCTGACTGGCCCGGGTCTGGATTAACCCAGGTCAGTCGATCCCCGATTGCGCTCTCCATTCTGGCGGTCACTTGCCCGATCGCAGCGTGCATGCTGCGGGCGCGGTCTGCTGGCCACTGGAGCTTGGCGGAGGGCCGCCTGCCGTCCCAGGGAAGTGCCTGCATCCAGCGGGCGAGGGCCTGCCGTCTCGGGGCATCGCGTCAGCATGCGCGCGGAGCTGGCGCGACGCCTCGCTCGCCTTCGGCGGCGGCCGCGGCGACGTGCTGCTCCGAGACCGCTCGGTGCCTCTGCCGCTGCAGCGCGTCAGCCAGCGCCTCATCGGTGGACCACCACGCAGCAGCGCGGTCCGCCATCGGCGCCGCCGCCCGCGACGCGCGCACACGGGCGGTGCGCGGCTCCAGCTGGGCGCCGCGCCCGCAGTGCAGGTGCTGCAGTTCGGAAGAGGATGCCCAGCACGCGGACGAAGTATTCGAGGGCCGCTGTCCAGCGCCCCTTGGACCCCGAGGTCCAAGGCGTCGTCCCGGGTCACGTGGCAGGCGACAGACTCGGCGACGAGCGCAGGCTGCGCGCGCCAAACGGCAGGCGCCTGTCGCGCAGCGGCCGCCTGAGCCTCCCCCAGCGCAGCCGCGCAAGCCTCCGCCGAAGGCGGCTCGACCGGAGGCTGGTGAACGGCATCCCGCGCAGCCACGACGTGCACGTTCTCAGCCTGCTCAGCGTCGTTGTCGACGGCGTGATGGACTGAGGCTGGACTCGAGACCGCCGCCTGCGGTCCCTCAACCATACCTCTGCCCTGCTGCGGGACGTCGAAGGGCGGCGTTCCCTTCTCACACTCTTGCGCCGCCACTGCCGCGTCGAAGTCCCACTCCGCGTTGAGGGTGGCAGCGATCGCAGCGCTCGCGCGTGGTGCGGTCAACGCACCCACCATCTCATTCTCTGGTGCGCGCTGCCTGGCACCCTGGCCCGACAGAGCTGGCTCGCCGCGCGCATCTCCTCTCTCCCATGGCGGCGGCCCAGGGACCGGCAGCGGCGGGAGCGGTCTTGGGGCCCATCTTGAGGCCTCGGAGGCCCATCTGAGGCGAAAGGGCGAAGCATTCGTTCTCTGTTTAGGTGTTGGCAGGAGTTGCTTCCTTCTCCTCCTCCTCCTCCTCCTCCTCCTCCTCCTCATCCTCATCCTCATCCTCATCCTCATCCTCATTCTCCTCTGCTCTCTCGTCCTCCCCTTTCCACCCCCAGAAAGAGGGGGCCCAATACGGTTTAAGTGATCCCCAAGACTGCCCACCAGACTCCCAAACCAGGACTAGCGGACCCGAGTGCGCCTTGTGAGTGGCCCCAGAGGGGACGCGACCTGACATTTCGAGCCGCTCCCTCCAGCGATGGCTCCTGAGACCGCCAGGAGGCCCCCATGCCCCTCCGCCCCCAGAGGCCCCAACACGTCCCCAAGATTACCAACGACGTCAATGTATGATGTCTGCGACGGCGGCTGCTGTCCCAGGCCGAGTGCTGTCTGCGATGCGCACACGTCGTTTCGTAGCCTCGAGCTTCCCTCCCTCCTTCGCTATCTCCCGAGCACGGCGCCCGCCACACCCGACGCGGAGCGAGCGAGCACCGCTCCTCGCTCCTCGCCCCTCCTCCTTCCATCCGCTCTCCTGCCCTGCTGCTCCTGCTGGAGGAGCAGGCGCAGGAGGAGGAGGAGGAGGAGGAGGAGGAGGAGGAGGACCAGTGAAAATCCAAGAGTCGTCAACGATGTCGGAATAAACCCTCCCTCCAAGCTCCCCCGTCGTAGGCCCCAACAACGGTTCATTTCCACAGGGAACTGCCTCGTTGGAAGACAACCGTTTGAAGAGCATACCAAAACATTGTTGTCGGGATTCCAACGCCACGGATCAACTTGACTGTTGCGTCTTGACGATCTTGATTCGTGCCAGAAACCATTCTTGGGACTTAAACATCTCGAATCGACGTAACTGTTGCACCCTCATAACCCTGAATCCTTCCACAACGCAATGTATGGTGCGCTGATCATGGGAATCCGTGAAACCCTTGCAAATATTGCAAACGAATTTGCGCGGCGCAGGCGATAGCCACATTTTGAAAAGGAACTGCGCTCAATATGTGAAGCTCTTGCACATTGTTCAAACGAATGTGCGCGGCGCTAAAGCGAGAGCCACATTTTGAAAAGGAGCCTCAATCTGTAAGGCTCTTGCAAAGGTTTCAAATGGTAATGTGCGCGGGGCTTGAGCGAGAGCCACATTTTGAAAACGACCAGCCCTCACTCCGCGAAGCTCTAACTTTCCTTAAAACGAATGTGCGCGGCGCTAAGGCGAGAGCCACATTTGAAAACGACCCACTCTCCATCTGTGAAGCTGTCGTCAGTTTCTAAGCTTCAGAGTCATAAGTGGTGAGGAAGTCTCAGGCGAAACGCCCGGACCGCCCTGCAAATTGGCCTCGGGGAGCGACAAGGGGTAATGAGTTTTTGTTACAATTTTGGGAAATTGATGGAGGAGGAGGAGGAGGAGGAGGAGGAGGAGCAGGAGCAGGAGCAGGAGCATGAGCAGGAGGAGCAGGAGGAGGAGAAGAAGGAGGAGGAAGAGGAGCAGGAGGAGGTGGAGGAGGAGGAGGAGGAGGAGGAGGATGAGAGGGAGGAGGAGGAAGAGGAGACGGCGACGACGACGACGAGGATTCTACCATCACGGCCCCCGCGCGATGTCCCGAGCCGTGGGAGTGAAAGCGCTCCCGGCGGTCCCCGCCGGCCGCCGCTGGCCAATGGGCGAGGGCTGCTCCGCGTGCGGCGAGGGCTGCGACGAGGCGGCGCACGGCGCGCCGCTCCGCCCAGACCTCCAGCAGCGTCCTGCACAGAGTCGAGGTCTGGGGTTCTTCCAGTTCTCGGCGTCTGGGGGCCGTTTTTTGGCATCGCTCGGACGTGTGTGCATTGTATTTTTTTCTCGGCGAGGGCTGTCGAGGAGCATCCTGGATCGACTGGCAACAAATGCACGCACGGAACTGAAACATGCATGGGGAATGGACGTCCGAGCGATGGCAGAGACCCTGGCCCACGTACATTCGGAGAGACGCTGGCAGAGACCCTGGCCCACGGACATTCGGAGAGACCCTGGCAAATACCCTGGCCCACGTACATTCGGAGAGACCCTGGTCCGAGCGATGGCAGAGACCCTGGCCCGGCAAATGGATTGTACTTGGATGAGAGACCCTGGCCCACGTACATTCGGAGGCTCGGGGACCCGCGGTCGCGACACATGGCTCAGGAGGATCCGCGGTAGGGTCGCCGCGCTCGGGAAGGGGCGGACAATCTGGGCGCCGCTCTCGTCAGAAGCTTGTTTACAGGTCGATCGCCTGGGCTCTGGTTGCCAAGGTGTGTGAGGTATGCCAGCCCGTCCTCGGTCGAATGCCTGCCTTTCTGTTGTTTGTCTTTCAGACCCCCCCCAAGGCAGAGTTTGTCAATCACACTGCACACTCTATCTCATGCTGGTTGCATCCGTTCTGGTGCGATGCATTTTCTCTGATGGGCATGTTCCCCTGCATGAGGCATCGTTGTCTGCTCTTTCTCTCCCCCCTTCCTCCCTCCCGTCACGCGTCTGTCCGGCTCCCCTCTTCTGCGGGTCATGCCACGGTTCACGTCCTCGGAGCTCGTGCACCACGCTGTCAATTGGCGTAGCCGACGTTGATGCGACGTGTCTGTTTTTTCGCGTTCTTCTGGACATCGTATCATTTTTGTTGTCTCCGTGGGCGGAGTTTCCCACTCGCATTCTCCTCGACGTTGTCGCGAATCCTTGCTTCCTTCCTCCCCCTCCTGGGTCTGTTGCTGCATCATGGAGTCCCCTTCCCATCATTTGGGAAGCTGGCACTTTCATGTCAAGCTGCATTGATGTTTACAACAAACACCTCGGGGTGGGGGCGAGAAATAGGAGGCGGAGAAGGAGGAGGGGAAGAAGGCGAAGAAGGGGGGAGAGGAGGAGGGGGAGGAGGAGGAGGAGGAGGAGGAGGAGGAGGAGGAGGAGGAGGAGGAGGGAGGAGGATGAGGAGGAGGAGGAGGAGAGAGGAGGAGTGGGACAGAGAAGGAGGAGGAGAATAAGGAGCAGGAGCATGAGCAGGAAAAGGAGGAGGAGGAGCAGAATAATAAGCAATAGGAGAAGGACGAGGAGGTGGAGGAGGAGGACAAGGAAGATAATGAGCAGGAGGTGGTGGATGATGCGGAGGAGGAGGAGGAGGAGGAGGAGGAGAAGGAGGAGGACGAGGAGGAGGAGGAGGAGGAGAAGCAGGATGATGAGGGAAGAGGAGGGGGGTGAAGGAGAAGGAGGAGGAGGAAGAGGAAGAGGAGGAGGAAGAGGAGGATGGCCTCCATGGGATTTCAGGCGTATCCAGGAGCATGTCGATGGCAGGCAGTGTGAAGGAGGAGGTGGAGGCGGAGGTGGAGGTGGAGGTGGAGGAGGAGGTGGAGGTGGAGGTGGAGGAGAAGGAGGAGGAGGGGGGCGAGGGGGATCAGGAGGAGGAGGTGGAGGAGGAGGAGGAAGAGGAGGAGAGGGAGGAGGTCGGTGGTAGGAGCAGCAACAGCCGTTCTCTTCCATCCTCTTCCTCATCTAACACGCAGGGTTTCACGGCCGAGCGGAAGTGCTTCGTCGACCAGGACGAGGTGAAGGCCTGGGGCGTTGCCTGCCGTTTTTTTTTTTTTGCAGGGACAGGACGAACAGGACGAGGAGAAAGAGATTGCTGATGCGGATGATGCTGATGATGCTGATGATGATACTGATGTTGCTGATCATGATGTTGATGATGAGGAGGATGGTGATGGTGATGCTGAGTACGAAGACGTTTGTGATGATGATGTTGATGCCGATGAACATGATGATGATGGTGTTGGCGATGAGGGTGGGGATGCGGAGGAAGAGGAGGAGGCCGAAGAGGAGGAGGACCATGAGGTGGACGACGCTGACGATGCTGCTAATGATGATGCTGATGCTTGATGCTGCTGATTATTAGTATGATTATGATGCTGCTGGGAATGATGAGGCTGATGGTGATGATGCTGATGTTGAAGATGATGATGCGGTTGTTGATGATGATGGTGATGCTGATGATGCTGCCGATGATGCTGATGATCACGATGCTGCTGCTGATGATGAGGATCATGATGGTAAACGATGAAGATGATGCTGACGATGAGGATTATGATGATTGTGCTGATGAAAATGATGATGCTGCTGATGATGATGGTTATGATGAATTTGATGATGACGATGATGATGCTTGTGATGATGCTGATGATGCTGATGATGCTGCTGGTGCTGATGTTGATGATCATTCTGGTGCTGATGACGATCGGGATGAGGATGCGGATGTGGAGGAGGAGGAGGACGAGGGTGAGGCTGAGGATGAGGATGAGGATGAGGAGTATGAGGATGAGGGCGAGGATACTGATGATGATGATGATGATGATGCTGCTGCTGATGATGATGATGACGATGATGTTGATGATGATCATCATGACCATGCTGATGAGGAGGATGATACTTAGGATGAAGATGATGCTGATGCTGATTATGATGATGCTGCTGATGATGATGCTGATGATGCTGATGGTGCTGATGTTGATGTTGATGTTGCTACGATAATGATGATGAGGAGGAGGAAGAGGGAGAGGAGGACGAGGATGAAAACGGTCTAATAGAGGCGGATGTGGTATGCTCCTCCAGTGAACGCCGATGGTACCAGCTGTCGGAAGATAGTTGTGGCCTCCCACTAATCCCGCTCCCGTAAGCGGGCAACCCAAGGTTTGGGAGAGCCCAGCTCTCCAGTACCATCTGGTTCCGCCTCTGCGCAGGTGGATGCCACGCTCGGAGTGGCTCCGCCGCCCGTTGTCCATCTTTTCTTAGGGGAGATCCGCTCTCTTGGCAGGGCATGCTTGGACAGGCCTTCGAGACTGGGGCTGCGCATTCGGGGCATTGGACGCATTGTTGAACAATCAGGGCCTGCTCTGGGGCGGCCCCTCCGAGGGCGTGCGATCGTGCCCCAGAGCTCCACCTTTGTGGTGCGTCCTGCCGCCAGCACATGCCCACGGTTCCGCAGCACACGCATGATCTCAGCGCGAGCATCTTCGAGCAGCACCTCGCACTGGGCGTACATCGACCACAAGTTGAGTGCTTGCTGCTTGGCCGCCTCGTCGGCCAGCGACTCGAGGATGACCCGCCAGTTGCCATCGGTCTGAGGGGCGGCTGGGACGTCCTTGTGATCCTTTACCTTGAAGGCCGCGCAGTGGGAAGCATCCTGCGAGCCACCTTGCGCCGGTGCCCCGCGTCTGTCCATGCGGGACTAGGTGTCCGCGTATCCACGCGCGCGGGCGGCTAGCCCTGCCGTGTGGTCGCGAACATACTGTTGGTTACCATCGCAGATGGCAGCCCCGACAAGTCATCGAGGAAGAGGAGGAGGCGGGTAAGCAGTGTGGAGGAGGCCGAGGGAGGGCGCCTTTGCGGTCGCCTTTGCGTTTTTTTGGCCGGGCGGTGTGATGTTTCCCGTGCAGGAGTGCACGTGGCATGAAACCTTCTCCAACCCTGCTCCGACGTATGTCGCCTATGCTGGCCCCCGAAAGCAGGAGATACCGATTGTGCAGGCTCGTGGGATCCCAGGGGGATGGTGCCGAGGGAGTGAGTGCATCGGGGGAGGCTGCAGTTAAAGGCTAAGGCCTAACCCGCTCGCTACAACCCCAGAGTACGCGCCTCTGCCGCACTCCTCGCCCTGCAAACTGGGCTGGCTGGCTAGAGCCCCCACCCACCAGAATCAATACGCTGGACACTCACCTAACGGAACATTGGGACATTTGCAAGAGTAAATGAGGAGGAGGATGAGAAGGAGCAGGAGGATGAGGTAGGAGGACGGGACGCAGACAGGAAGGGGCAGCCCACTCATCGCCTTGTGCCGCACAGTCGGATGACGACACGCTTCTGCCGTCGTCGTGCCGCCTCAGTCACAGGTCGGGAACCCAAGCACTCCCCTCGCCTTCGTGCAGAGCACGCGGAGCGCATTGACGGGAGCCCAGAACTATCCCCGCACCCCTGTAGGCCCCCTCGCCGAGGCGGGGCCAGATGGCACGCATCACGGGGCCTCCCCCACCTGCCGCAGCAGGACGAAGTGGCCCGAGTGCCCCGCCCCTTGAGCCGACCGGGCAAAGCAGTGGGCTAGCAATGCCCTCCCCCACCCTGGTCCAGGGTGTTTTTGAGCAGACTCCATTTTCCCCAGGGCTGCGCCAGCTAGCCACTGCCCCAGCTCGCTCGCCAGGACGCTTGCCGGAGAGGGGAGAGGAGGAGTGGGTGGAGGTGGGCGGGGAGGTCGAGGATGACGGAAGTGAGGTAAGAAGCAAGAGGGTGAGGAGCGAGGAGCAACGGTGCGAGGGGAGGGGATCGGGAACGGCAACTAAGCCGAGCGAGGAGACAGCGCGGTGCAGCGGGGTGGCGTCTAGCCTCCGGCGGCACAGGTCTGCTGGACCCTCCCTCGACGCGCCAAATACGCTCCGCGGTTCTTCCTGTTGTGCTGTGTACTTCCCCGGCGCACCAAATGCCACCGCATGTCTGGTTGAAGAGCTATATATGTAATCTTATGTTTATATATATATATGTGTGTATATATATCGACGTTGGCTTTGCGTGCAGGCAAGGGTTGCTCCAGCACGTCGCAAGATAGTGATTGCTTCTGCGACAAGTGTTGTCTTTCAATCTCGTATGGACCCACTTCCCTCACCAACCTCTGCATACTGCAACGTCCCATGCGCGAGAAACTTAGTACTATAATTGCGATCCATGGATTCGGTCCAACTCGCGTCTCACACTCCGCAACCAATGTGGCCCTTGCGTTTATGCTCAACTGTGCTCCTGCTTCTTCGTGGCATTTGCATGAAAACATGGGGATCGCTTCGTCATGGTTTCTGGTTTTGGCTGCCTTTCGCCACTCACAACGCACTCTGTCAACCAACTGTTCGCAATGTGCAGCCGAGCTGCCCACCTAGTCTTTGCACGAGAGATTCCTCCAGCTCTGGCCCTTGCGCCTTGATCTTTATTTTGTCCGACGCTATCGCCGCTGGTGCAGCTCGATAGCACTGGCTTCCAGATTCAGATGTTTGCGATCAACCTATGCCTTCTCACGATTGGTTTCGTTGGCACATCCCAGCGCAGATCGACCCTCCTCGGGTACGTACCGTGGCCACGCTAACAATGTTCAGTGGATCCCCTGTCTGCCTTGTGGCACCACGAGAAATCCAATTTTTCAGTGCGTCTAGTAAGATCTCTATTGCATATCAGACCGCAAATGACTTTGGCAAGATAACGCCGTGCGCTTCATCGTCGTGTAAGCAAATTTCACTTATCAGTGTCGTGGAGCCCTGCCCTCTCCAAGTCATCGTGGAACACACTTTACTGCCCATCTTTTGCAATTCGCTCGAGCAATCCCAAACGAATGTCAGATGAAGTTGTTTCTCGTGTCCTGGAAGCGGCGCTGTCGTGGTATCTTTGCTTGATGAGCTCGTGTTCTCAAGTGACATTGTTTTTTCGCCATCAACCCGAACACAGGGGCTCCACCACGGTCTTCTGAATGTAATTCTTTGTTTGCTGAATCTTCACGTCCCGTCACCGCCACTGCCAAAACGATCTCTTCACCTGCCTTCTCGTAATATAGCAGTACCGCCTGTTTTCCTTCATCTCCTTTTGCTTGAATGGGATGTAACTTCATCTGCAGCGCCATTCGCTTTCTCTAGTCCTGGCGGTGGTGCAATTATGAGACACCTCCAAATCTCAAGTTTGGCGAAATTGCATTGTCTCGCGTGCGTGCGGCGTTATCTGCCTCGCCGTTTTTACCCGGCTTACGGAAATATTCGCGTTCCAGAGCAGCGCAGTTCATGTTTTTCGTTATGTTCCCCCAGTCGGCACAGTGCCCAGATGTGTGTGCTACTGGCCTGCTCCCTCCCGCGGTCCGCGGGAAAGTGGGGTCGCAGTCCTTGGGGGTCGCCTCAGGGGGGGAGTTCCGCTTGAATCCTCGTGGCGGTTGGGATGACGTACAAGCAGGGGAGGGTGGAGGAGGAAGAGGAGGAGGTGGGGAGGGAGGATGAGAGGGGAGTGGGGGAGATGATGAGGGGCAGGGTGCAAATGGCGAGGAGCAGGAGGAGGAAGAACAGGAGTGTGGAGGGTGATGGGGAGGGTTGATGATGAGAAGGATGGGGGTGGGGATGATGAGGCCGAAGATGTATGAGGAGGAGGAAGAGAAGGAGGAGAAGGGATGCGGAGGAGGATACAACTCTGCACCCGTCTTGCTTCCAATTGTACTCAGTGGCGTCCGTTGGCATCCCTCGTAGAGCTCCATAGCCAACGTATGCGTGTGGATTTCGGACACGCATGTAGAACTCGATTATATAGATTACATGTACTATGTTCAAACACTGGTCCAGAAGTCTTGAGTGCTCCACGGAATCGGGGGATTTTGAGTGAACGTTCAGAAGTCGGCGCGCGGCTCAGAAGTCGGGGCGCGCTGAAACGCAGGAAGAGGAGGTATCGCAGTGGCGCCTATTACAACACCTTTGTTCACTGGGATCGCAACGATTTCTTGCCGACTGACATCATTAGGCGAAGCCTTGGAACTTACCAATCGAATAAGGTTTAGCGCCCAGACTTCTGAGCCGCCATCACACTCAAATGGCCCGCTTGTGGATAGCGTTGTTTTGGGCAGACATTGCGTCGCATGCCTCTCTCCCCATATCTCTTTCCGTAAGGCCACCATTCTGTTTTCTGGAAGAGCGGGTTTTTCCTGATTCCGAGCCCCGCTTTGCAGAACAGCTGATTGTCAAGTCGAGCGACAACCTTTGGGGCCGCTCTCGGCATTTCAGGTCGAGCTTGAGCTGAGCTCTCGTTACCCGACAGTCCTGGCTCCGAGGAGTCTGGCTGACATCAGCATGCAGCTCAGACACCAACGCCTGTCTCATTGGACTTCGGGTGCCAGTTCACGATCCCCGATGTGACGCTGAAATTCAAGATGAACTATCGGTGGAGTTTTCCTTAACCTGTCCATTGGCCGCACGCACAAGTGGGACAGGACTAGTACCCCTCGCTAGTTTCTTGCAACCCCGGGTGCTCCCAACCTCTACGATGAACTGTAATTGAGCCGGATCTGCGCATGTAGGCCATGTGTATAGCCATAGTGTGGCAGCACACGTTTTTTGCTGGTGATTCCAAGTGAAACGGGAAGCAAGTTTGTAAGCAACCGTTCGTAAGCACGCCATATCAAGTAAAGAGTGAAACGCAACAGCGGTCGCAAGCAAACGCACACGCAAACGAGTACATCGTGCGAGTATCAGCAAACAGGCAAGCAAGCCGCGCGAATATTACCATGCACGAGCATTATGACGCACGCGCGAAATGGATCAGCCAAGGAAAGGGCAGGGATCAACCAAACGTTTGCGGCATGATGGAAGCGATACGCCATCTGGAGCCAGTCAACTAATCAAACAAGGAAGCAACCACGCTCTTATGCAAAGCAACAACCACGCACGCAATCGCAATCTAGCAAGCAATGATGACCGCAAACACGAACTGAAGCAATGACGCAATGAAGCCAGCGAGCAAGGCAGCATGGAAGCAGGGACGCAATTTTGCAAGCGAGCAAGCGAGTCAGCACGCACGCAATGAATCGGTTGGTCAAGCAAGCAAGGAGGCAAGCCGGCAGCGAAGCACGCAACCACGCACACAACAACGTAGATAAGAAGCACGCAACCAGCCATTGATGCAAGGAAACGCGAACGTAAGCAACCGCGCACGCAGTGACAGCAAACGCACTGAATTGAGCGAATGGTATAAACGCGACCTCAAGCAAGCGTTCACGGAACTGAGCAAGGCAGCAACAATTATAGCACGTTGTCACGTAAGCAAGGGATGATGACGTAATGATGCAAGCTCGCGCGGAAGTGTGTAAGTCGTGTTTTCCGTCGCGGATTCGGCGAACGCACACGTCGGTAGGGTTGGATCGGGATGCGAAAGAGCAACGTTGCATTTGTACACGGGCGAAGGCAGGAAGCAATTGGAAGCGTGTAAGCAGTGAAGGGAACAATCAAGCACGCACCTAAGGAGCCAAGTATGCGAGGGAGCAGCCAACCAACGACGCAATCAAGCAATCATGAAGCGAGCAAGCAAGCACGACTTTTTCGTCGGCGGCGAGGCAGAGGCAATCCGCACCAGCGACAGAGCAAAGCAGAGGCACTGTTAAGCTAAGTGTCTGGCGTGCAAGAGCGGAAGGAGGGCAACGGGGCCGCGGGCGGAAGGGGAGTGAGCAAGCAAGGCACGACGCAACACAATGAACATGGACACGAGCAAGTGCACAATGCAGCAACACGGCGAGGATGCGAGCAAGCAGGCAATGAAGCGATGAAGAGAGCTAGCAAGCAAGTTTGACTAGGCACTCCGACTGTTTCCTTAGGATGATTTCGTATCCATCCCAGTTGCTCTTATAGGCTCCTGGGGTTCACATGGGCTGCTGTGTATTCTTATGGGTTCCTACGTGCTCGTCTCTTCTGTGCTGCTGTATGTTCGCCTGGATTTCGACGGAGCCCAACTGTCCCCTTCGAATTCCTCAAGACTGTAATTGACTATTCGATTCGCCTGGATAAAGTATTCCTATGTCGAATTGCATGTCTGAAGTGCGTATTTCTATATATACATAGATATTCCCCGGCACGGGCCAGCAGCAACAGGAGGAGGCGGGGCAGGACCCTGTCTCAAACCATCTCTGCGCATCCGAGGCGGATGCACATGTATCTGGGATGCAGGAGCAAACACCCCCAGAAGGGAGGTTGAATCTTCAAGGAGGAGGCGTGCGCGCTTTAGGGAGTAGAACGAGGAGGTGGCTGGGGAGAAGCAGCGGGAAGGAGGAGGAGGAGGAGGCGGAAGCGGAGGAGAACCGGGATGGAGTGGGAGAAGTAGTGGGAAGGAGGAGGCCAGGGAGGAGCAGGAGGAGGAGGAGGAGCAGGAGGAGGAGGAGAAGGAGGGGGAGGAGGGGGAGGAGGGGGATGATGATGATGATGATGATGATGATGATGAGATGAGGAGGGAGGAGGAGGAGGAGGAGGAGGAGGAGGAGGAGGAGGAGGAGGAGGAGGAGGAGGGGGCAGCGGGAACGGCGAACAGCGGGAAGGCGGAGGTCAGAGAGGAGGAGGAGGAGGAGGAGGAGGAGGAGGAGGAAGTTGGGACATATTCAGGAGCAGTCTTGGGAGGAGCAGGCTGGGGAGAGGGGGGCCCGCGCGAGATCGGCTACGGGGACCAGACGGTCTACTCGAAAGCAGGACGCCCGAGCCGGCTCCGCCGCACCTATTCTCTCCCGTATCTGCCGCCCCCGAGGGCGGAGGCCGAGCGAGGGAGCCCAGGCAGAGAACGACGAAAGGAAACAAGGACGAAGAGAAAATGGGAAGGTGGATGAGGATGAGGAGGAGGAGGAGGAGGAGGAGGAGGGAGGTGGAGGAGGAGAGAGGAATAATGAATAGTATTCCTGTTGGTAACGGTGCTGAGTACGGTGGTGCATCATATGACCTATGACTATGCTGCTGATGCCGTTGATGCTGCTGATGCTAATGATGTTCCGACAGGCAGGCAGGTAGGCAGACAGACAGACATAAGCCATATTCCGAAGTCTTGCGACATGACAAGAAACGGAGTGCGATAGTCGCAGTTCGGCATGGGCTCCTGTGTTGGGCATGATCGAAATGTTGCCTTGTGGTCCCCACAACCTGTTCAGCAGGCAGAGCAAGTCGTAGCCCTTGTCGGGATCACGGATGCCACAGTTCTGCGATGTCCGAGAATGGTCAACCTGTATGTGACCATGGTTTCACTACTACTGAACAATTTGGCACGCTCTGGAAACGGAGTTATGACGGGCTCCGCGGAGTCAGCGTTAAAAGATGCCGATCGTTCCGTACTGAGCCGGGCCGGACGCTTCTTTTTCCACCAGTTAGCGGCTACAAATCGGCACCACCCAAACATGGGTACCATGACTGCGTCGGCCACGCAAAGGCGACGAGGCGGTCGCATACTGGGCGTAAAGGAAGGCGATGTACTGCAAGATTTGTTGCTTCACGTTGAGGTCGGACGTGCGCCTCCGACAAAGGTACATCAGTTATAGGAAAAAATCCTGGAGGCCTCGCGCAGCGCGCAGTAGTTGTATCATTTAGTCCACACGCCAGCTCCGTAAGCTATGGGTCGACGTTCGCGCGGCGATGCTCCAGCGTCAGTCCGTTGGAAACCCGACGTAATTCCGACGTGCTCCGACGTGAACCCGACGCAAGTCCGACGTGGATCCGACTCACATCGGATTTTCAAGTTGCTGCGCGAGGCCTCCAGGATTCGTCCTACATATAGTACTAGTGCGTCCTCATGCGTCCCAGCGAATGCTGTCCGTGCGGCTGGCCCTCCCGTCGGGGGTGGGTGTCCGCTTGTGCACGTGCAGGCAGCTGACGGCAGGTCATCTGCATCGCGATATCTTCTCACTCGGCGGCTCGTGATGCGAAGGGCAAGCACGCGAGCTATGACCATGCTGATGAGTTGTTTTCGTTGAAGGAAACATGTGGATGAAATCCTATTTTAGCCGATGGGCCCAGCTCGACTTGAATCCTATTTTGATTCGATCTACCTGTAATAGAACCCTACTATAGCTAGGTCAAGCAATATTCGACGCTTATTGAGGTTCGATCGAGCTCGGTCGTCGTCGTCGTCGCCGCCGCCGCCGCCGCCGTCGTCGTCGTCGTCATCGTCGTCGTCGTCGTCGTCGTCGTACTCGTACTCGTACTCGTATTCGTCGTCGTCGTCGTCGTCGTCCTCGTCCTCGTCTTCGTTTTCGTCCTCGTAGTCGTCGTCGTCGTCGTCGTCGTCGTCGTCGTCGTCGTCGTCGTCGTCGTCGTCGTCGTCGTCGTCGTCGTCGTTGCACGACGGCGCCGGCGCTGGCGCTCGCCGTCGCTGGTTGCCACTGGGGACGGGGGGGGGGGCGGCTATGTGACCCACTCCCTCAGGGGGGTGGCAGGTTCGAACCCTCCCTCCGATAGAGCGCGCGCGTGGGGCCCGATAGACTAAAAGGGGGGCCCCAGCTTGAAGCTACCCCCCTCCCCCCTTCCTTGCTAAAGGGGGGGGGGCTTCGGAAGCCCCCCCCCCTCCCCCCCTTTTCGTGGTTCGGAAAGGGGGGGGGGGCTTCCAAGCTACCCCCCCCTCCCTCCCTTTAATTGAGCCGGGGTGAGCCACCCCCCCCCCTTTGAAAGGGGGGGGGGCTTCGGAAGCTACCCCCCCCCTCCCTTTTCGTGGCCGGAAAGGGGGGGGGGGCTTCCAAGCTACCCCCCCCCCTCCCTCCTTTTAATGGAGCTGGGGTGAGCCACCCCCCCCTTTGAAAGGGGGGGGCTTTGGAAGCCCCCCCCCCTCCCTCCCTTGGTGCAAAAGGGGGGGCTTGAAGCCCCCCCCTCCCTTCCCCCCTTTGGCCGCCCAGCTCCCGGAGCCATCGCCCTCCCTTTCGCCTCCATTTATTCCCGCCCCTCTCCCTCCTCCTCTTCTTCCTTTTGCCTCCTCCTCTTCCTCGTCCTCCTCATCCTCCTCATAGTCATCATCGTCATCGTCATCATCATCATCATCATCATCATCATCATCATCATCATCATCATCATCATCATCATCATCATCATCATCATCATCATCATCATCATCATCATCATCATCATCATCATCATCATCATCATCATCATCATCATCATCATCATCATCATATCATATCATATCATATCATCATCATCATCATCATCATCATCGTACTCCCCCGCGGGTCCTTCCGTTCCGTTCCTCCTCCTCCTCCTCGGTTTTCTCCTCCTCCTCCTCCATTTTTCCGTCCTCCTCCTCCTCATCATCATCCTCTTCTTCCTCCTCCTCCTCCTCCTCCTCGTGATCCTCCTCCTCCGTTTCCCCATCCTCTTCCTCCTCCTCCTCCCTCTCCTCCTCCTCCTCCTCCTCCTCCTCCTCCTTCTCCTCCTCCCCCTCCGCCTCCCCCATCCTCCGCCTCCTCCTCCCCCAGCTGGCCGCCGTCTTACACGAACACTGCCAAACCCGACGGGCTGGCGTTTTCCGAATTACACTTCGTGCAACTTTCGGGGGGAATAGTATTTTTCCCAACCCTCCTTGGTTGGGTATTCGTTTTGAATAGAGCAGTGTGGTCTCCAGTTCCTCCTTCCCGTCCCGTCTCCCTCTTGCCTCCTCCTGTCTTGCTTGCGGGGGACTGCGATCTGTGAAACTGTCGCCACTTTCGAGGCCTGCTGGGGGGCCCAGCACAGTGACGCCACGGGCGGACCCAAATTAGACCTCGCCATCCCTGGGGGGCTGCGATCTGTGAAACTGTCGCCACTTTCGAGGCCTGCTGGGGGGCCCAGCACAGTGACGCCACGCGCGGACCCAAATTAGACCTCGCCATCCCTGGGGGGCTGCGATCTGTGAAACTGTCGCCACTTTCGAGGCCTGCTGGGGGGCCCAGCACAGTGACGCCACGCGCGGACCCAAATTAGACCTCGCCATCCCTGGGGGGCTGCGATCTGTGAAACTGTCGCCACTTTCGAGGCCTGCTGGGGGGCCCAGCACAGTGACGCCACGGGCGGACCCAAATTAGACCTCGCCATCCCTGGGGGGCTGCGATCTGTGAAACTGTCGCCACTTTCGAGGCCTGCTGGGGGGCCCAGCACAGTGACGCCACGGGCGGACTCAAATTAGACCTCGCCATCCCTGGGGGGCTGCGATCTGTGAAACTGTCGCCACTTTCGAGGCCTGCTGGGGGGCCCAGCACAGTGACGCCACGGGCGGATTCAAATTAGACCTCGCCATCCCTGGGGGGCTGCGATCTGTGAAACTGTCGCCACTTTCGAGGCCTGCTGGGGGGCCCAGCACAGTGACGCCACGGGCGGACCCAAATTAGACCTCGCCATCCCTGGGGGGCTGCGATCTGTGAAACTGTCGCCACTTTCGAGGCCTGCTGGGGGGCCCAGCACAGTGACGCCACGGGCGGACCCAAATTAGACCTCGCCATCCCTGGGGGGCTGCGATCTGTGAAACTGTCGCCACTTTCGAGGCCTGCTGGGGGGCCCAGCACAGTGACGCCACGCGCGGACCCAAATTAGACCTCGCCATCCCTGGGGGGCTGCGATCTGTGAAACTGTCGCCACTTTCGAGGCCTGCTGGGGGGCCCAGCACAGTGACGCCACGCGCGGACCCAAATTAGACCTCGCCATCCCTGGGGGGCTGCGATCTGAGATCCCCGCTTTCGAAGTGTCTAGGGTTGCTCAGGGATTGCAACTAATCATCTTTACATAGTCCTTGTCCTGAAGCGAGTTTCCTGCGAGTCTCCCGAATTCCGTCTGCAGACATATGTAACCCTCGCTCCGTCATCGCCCCCCTTATAAAGTGTCCTAAACTATTTGCGCCCCGCGTTTGCGCAGGGGTTGGGTAAGTCGCCAGGGTAATTTTTCGTTCCCGGGCGTTGGCACGGGACGAGTTGAATGATACACTTGCGTTGCAATCGATTGCAATCCATTGGATTGCAAACGATTCGATTGCAATCCATTGGATTGCAATCGATTGGATTGCAATCGGTTGAATTGCAATCGATTCAATCGATTGGATTGCAGGGGAGGGACAGGACGGAAGGGAGGGAGGGGAGGAGAGGGAGGGGAGGGAGGAGATGGAACGAAGGGTGTGGAGGGAGGGGAGGGAGCGGAGGGAGGTGGGGAGGGGGATTGCAGTGGAATGGAGTGCAATCGATTGCAAGCGATTCGATTGGGATTTTCGATCGTCGATCGTTGATCGTCGATCGTCCATCCTCGATCGTGGATTGTTCATTTTGGATCGTCGGCGAAAGGGAGGGCGGAGGCTCCGGGGGCTGGGCGGCCAAAGGGGGCAAGGGGGGGGGGCAAGCTTCCAAGCCCCCCCCCCCTTTGGCACAAAGGGGGGGAGGGGGGTGGGAGCTTCCAGCAGGGCGGCTCCAAGGGAGGGGGGCGGTAGCTTAAGCACCCCCCCGGGGGTAGGGGGGGGTAGCTTCCGGGGCGGCCAAAGGGGGGTGGGGGGTGGGTAGCTTCCAAGCACCCCCCCCCCTTTGCACGAAAGGGGGGGAGGGGGGGGGTAGCTTCCAGCAGGGCAGCGCCAAGGGAGGGGGGGGGTAGCTTAAGCACCCCCCCCCTTCCGGGGAGGGCCCAAGGGGGGAGGGGGGGGTAGCTGTAAGCCCCCCCCCCCTGCAAAAAAAAGGGGGGAAGGGGGGGGGTGCTTCCAACAAGGGCGGCTCAAGGGAGGGGGGGGTAGCTTAAGCCTAGCCCCCCCTCCCCTTTGCTCGGGCCCTGTGGGCGCGCTCTCTCCTCCCTCCCTTTCCAAGCGTCCACAAAACGCGTTTTTTTCCGATCCATGTGCCCTCATCGTCGACATGAGGAGCCTTCCCAGTTGGCATGGTATGCGTGGGGAAGGCGCCGGTCTGGTGGGCACACGGCGGGCCGCTGGGTTTGCTCTCCGCGGCGAGTGCGAGGTCGAGGTCAGGAAACACTTCACGATGCCATTCTGAGGCCACGTTGTGCACAGTATGAACAGGGTCTGGACTGGCAGCCTTGGCGCGAGGCCTTCGATGTCTGGTTCGGCCTCCTGGGGAGAGGACGGACCAGGCATCCTTGCGCAAGCTGGCAATAAGGGTGCTCGCACTTCGACATGCTGCGCGATGCCCCCATGCTGGACAATATTGTGGGCCAGATGCGAGGCGGCTGTGTCGTTAACTCATACGTTCTTGAGTTGCGTCGTCAGGTCCGCTGAGGTGATAGGCCTCTTTGGGAGGCTTGTTGGGACCGTTTGGGAGGCTTTTCGGGGGCCATTGGAACAACGCCTTTTGAAGCCTCTTGGGGTGGGGGATGAGGCGTCTTGGGTTTTTTTTGTGGCCTTCTTGGGGGCCTCTTGGGATTTGGGCCTCTTGAACAGTTTTAGGGCCCTCTCGGGCCGTCTTAGGGCATCTTGGGATGCCTTGGGGCGACGTTCGGGGGCTTCTGGGCTATCTCGGATCGTAGGGAGACCGTAGCATTGAAAACGCTCAAACTTGTCCAGTTCCCAAGCAAAAGGGAAAGGGCACTCGTGGGGGTCTTCTTGGAGCCCTCTTCGGCCGTTTGGGGAGCTTTTTAGGCTGTGCTGAGTCCGTCTTGGCTGTTCTTGAGCGTTCCTGGGCCGTCTCGGGGGCCTCATTGGACCGTATTGAAGGGCTCTTGGGACCCTAGTTGCCGGTCTTTGGGTCTTCTGGCCTCAGAAACAGTAGCGCGACAAGCTCCCACAGGCACGCGGGAAGCCCAACGGACCACGCGGGAAGCCTACGAACTCTGGTTTCCGGGCCATTTGAGGAGCATGTGCAATACTCAATGACGGTAGGCGCTTGAGGACTTGAGGACGCTCAGTGAGTGCCTCGCGGCACGGTGGTAGATCTATTCTAGACGGAGTAATCGGAAGGGTAAGGAGGCAAGTTAGCCAGGTCGAGCGAGTCAGAGGGTTCTGCCTATTCCCACCCTCCCTCCCGCAACAAAAGGATCAATTGGGGGCCAACTTGATGTTGGGACTGGAACGCGTTTCCATCTGGCAAACGGACGGAGCTCGCGCGCGGTCCCGCTTCCGACCCATGCGAAGAGAACTACGCGGGCCGCGCAGGGGCGGGAGCGGCAGCATTTCCGATGGGCGCGGCGGCGACGAAGCATGCGCTGCGCTGACACCGCACTGCCACTTGCAATCACAAGCTGCGCGGCGCTCGGGCGAGGTGTGCATTTCGCCCGCTCTCGCGCGGCCCTGCTGCCGGTACGGTGTCGCTTGCATGCGATCGATTCGGCGAGCGAACCATGCGCCGCGCCCGCGCTGGAACGCAGCTTCCGATCCAAAACTGCACACGGAGCATGGGCGAGGGCAACAAGCCAAGTCAAGTCGTCCATTCGGGCGGGCCGCCCAACCTTGGCGAATGACACGTATGCGCCGCGCGGAGGCGGGAACGTATTTTCCAGGCGCCCAGGCGAGAGCGACATTTTCGTCTCCGCTCGCGCGTCGATGAGCATGCGTGGGAAAACTGTGCACCGCGCTCGAGCGGGAACTCTTTTCTTTAGAACAGTTGGCGCGGCGCATAGGCAAGAACGACATTTCGGTCTTTCGCGCGGGATGTTCGCCCAGTCCCGTTCCTGTTGATACGAAGAACATGGATTCAGCAGAGTTCTCGCTCAGCCGGTAGGACGGAAGTGCCCCGAAATGGAGCTCATCGGCCGGCAGAGGCCCCGAGCGGGAGCACAGATAGCAGCGTTCCTTGTTTCATGCGCGCTCCAGGCGTCCGCCTCACGTTTGCGCAGCGTGAGGAGGAGGAAGAGCAGGCAGGCAGGAGGGGCAGGGAGAGACCTTGACGTTCCCCACTTGCTCTGGCTCCCCCGCGGACTCCCACCTTGCAGAGCGGAGCCGCGCCGCCGGCCCAGGCGCTCGTCAGGCCGCTTCGGCGCCGCTGGGCGGCCAGTCCCCGGGCAGGCGCGCGCGCGCGCAGCCGATCTCTCCGGGCAGCCCTGGGCAGCCTGCCTGCCGCCGAGACCAGGCACGGCCGAAGTGGGAACGGAAACGCTGTGCACGCACGATGTCCAACATCGGAGAAGAAAGCACGCCATAAACCTGGCATCGCTCGGACATGTGTATTCTTTTCTCGGCGAGGACCCTTGAGGAACATCCTAGATCATCGAGCGACAAAAACACACGCACGACACCGAACAATGCACGGGAAATGGACGTCCGAGCGACGGCAAGTAAACAAACTTGTGGCGCTCCGGGCGGATTTCTTGGATCGGCGCCTGGGCCTCCCCCGGCGGCGCCTCCGGCGCCGCCCCTGGCGCGCTCAGCGCGCCAGGGAGGGGATTCCAGCGCAGATCCGAGAAATCCGCGCGGACCGTCGAAAATTTTTGTTCACGCCGCGTTTCCTTTCTCTAATCTAAGACAGCAGCTCCTGCTCATTTTGAACAGGACTCGCTGTCCGCGCCGCTGCGGGCGTTGCCCATTTGAGGCAGAAGGCCGACTGCCCAACAGCGGCCGCTGTCGGTTTTGGGCAACACTTGTTGTTGGGCATCGTTCTCACGTTTGCCCGTACCCGCTTCGGGCGTCTAGAGAGACGGGGACGGGGACCCAGGCCGTCCGACCAGTGTCCGAGCGGATAGGGTAGGAGGCTTGCGCTGCATCGCCGATGCATCGGCGATGCATCGGCGATGCAGCGCGATCCTCCGACCCCGTCTCCTTGGACGCCATTTGGGCGGCCTCGAGAGGACCAGTGGGTCCACAGGGTTAGACTGGTTTCGGGGAGCATGGATCGCCCTTTCACCAACCAGAGACTTGCAGCCCCACCCTGCCCAGGAAAGTCCAGTTTCGGTGCCGAGGGTTCATCATCGGCGGAGTACCGATTCTAAAGCGACGTTCTCCCCTCTGAGACGCTCCTTTTTCTGGCGCCCCTCAGAATGTGGGTGGAGGAGGTCGAGGAGGAGGAGGCCGAGGAGGAGGAGGAGGAGGAGGAGGAGGAGGACGAGGGAGGATCGAAGAAAGAGTATCAAGCGAAGGCATTTGGGGCTCTTCTTGGGCCTCTGGACGCGCCAAGAGGCCTCCAAGCAGCATCGGGGCTCCTTCAGGGACCCTGGGGCCTTCGTTGGGGAGCAAGGTGTCGTGTGTTGTCCCACGTTGAAAGTTTCGAATTGTTTTGGGAGGGGAGCAGGAAGGAAGACGCAGAGGATGAGGAGGAGGAGGTGGTGGAGGGGAGCAAGCAGAGGAGGAGGAGGAGCAGGAGGAGGAGGTGGAGGAGGGAGAAGGGATGAAGGGGGCGAAGACGTCTCTCCTGCCTGCTTCTTCCCTCCTGAATCCCCCTTCCTCTCAGCTCGTCCTTTTGCTCTCCTCATCTCCGCTCCGCGCGCGGGCGGGCAGGGATGATGTCCCCCCAGCCCTCCTTGATTGGGTGTTTTTTTTGAGTGGCGCGCTGCTACTCCTTCTCCCTCCTTCCCGCCCTGTCTCCTGCCTCTTGGCTCTTGGCTCATACTTCCTGCTTGCTTTCGCTGCTCCTTGGGCCCTGCCAACTGCGCAAATGCGGCCACTTTCGTGAGCTCCGTAGAAGTCAGGTGGAGTGGCGTCCCACAATGATCCAGATGGGAACTCGCCTGGGCGTTGCCAACTGCGCAAATGCCAACTGCGCAAATGTCGAGACTTTCGTGAGCTCCTGGGAGGAGGTCCAGCGGAGTGACATCCTGCGCGGATCCCAACGGGACATCTTTTTCTTTACAATCGTACAATTCCCCCCCCTGAAGTGGACTACCGTAACCCGGACCTCGGTGACACCGAGCCCAGCCCGCGCAGAATGGGCGTGACACCTGCATTCTGGCGACACGCTTTGCGGGCGGCAAAGAGGGGTGTGGTGACTAGGGGGGGGTGGATATCATGGCGGGGGCCATGATATCTCCCCAGATTTCATGGCGCCTCTTCTAATTTCATTACGTCCCTGGTCCCCCCGCTGGGCCGCGCACATGTCGCCGGTCATGATTTGCCCCCCCCCCCCCCCCTCTTGGACACCCCCCTCTTTGCCGCTCCCGAACGCTTGTCTCTGAATGATGCTCCGGCTTGTGCGTGGGCCACATCTCTTATTGAAAGAAATGTTGCCGCACAGGCGCCAGCAACATCCTTCATTGAGCGCGTTGTTCTCGCCTTTGCGTGGGCCACATCTCTGATTGAAATGTGGCTGCCGCTCAGGGGCCAGCGACGTCTTTCATTGAACATGCCGTTCTCGCCTTGGCGCCAATCAACTGTCTGATTCAAAATGCTGCTGTCGCCTAGGCGCTGGCGACATCCTACATTGAGCATGTCGTTCTCGCCTTGGCGCTGGCCAGATCTTGGATTGAAAATGTGGCTGTCGTCGAGGCGCTGGCGACACCCTTCATTCATAATGTTTTTCTCGCCTTGGCGCAGGCCACACGTCTGATTGAAAGTGTTATTGTTGCCTCGGCGCTGACGACATCATTCATTCAGCATGTCGTTCTCGCCGTGGCGCCTGTCACACGCCTGATGGAAAATGCTTCTGTCGCCCAGGCGCCTGCCGCATCTTTCGTTGAGCATGGCGTTCTCGCTGTGGCGCCGGTCACATGTCTGATGAACAATGTCGCTGTCGCCCAGGCGCTGGCCATATTTTTCATCGAGCATATCGTACTCGCTGCGGCACCAGCCACATCTCTATTGCCTAGTCGCCGGCCGCACGCATGAATGCGATAGTTGTTCTCGCCTCAACGCGGTCCGCACTCTCGACTCGGACTGCTGCTTTCGCCCAGGTCCTGGGCGTTGCCAACTTTAGGGGGCGTTGTAGCCATGTCTTGAATTCTTGGGCGCGCTTCCAACTGCGCAACTGCCGCCACTTTCGTGAGCGTCTGGGAGGTCCTTTGATGTCACATCCTACAAGACCCAAGCTGTACGTACCTCGCCCTCCTGAGGCGTTGTCAGTTGAGCACATGTCGCGATTTTCGTGAGTTCCTAAGAGGTCCAGAGCAGTGGCTTCTTGCACCCTCGGCGTCGCCTCGGATTGGTTTCCTGTGGGGTACATACTATTTTCCCCATGCACTATTCAGAAAGGACAAGACGTTCTCTGAGATGTCCATTCCTGTTGCATGGTCCCACAGGTATTGCGAAGGCCTTACGGCCGGTGCCGCCGACCCTGAGAACGACGAAGATGAAAACGAGGCGGGGGCAAGGGGAGGAGGATGAGTGGGAGGTGGAGGAAGGGCGGAGGAGGTGGATGAGGGAGGAGGAGGGGGGAGAAAGATGTGGAGGAGAAGCAAGAGGAGGAGAAGGAGGCAGAGGAGAGCAGGAGGAGGGGGAGCAGAGGGGGGGGAGGAAGAGGAGGACGACCAAGAGGAGGAGACCAGAGGCTTTCTTGGGGCAGCCTGGGGCTCTCTTGAGGCCGTCTTGGGCCGCCCAGGGCTCCTCTTGCGCCGTCTCGAGGCACACTTAGAGGCCTCCTGCGCTCTCCTGGGCTGTCTTGGGGCAGTTTGGGGGCCCCTTGGGAGCCTCTTGGGGCCTCTTGCAATGGGGCTTCTTCGGGGCCTCTTGGGGGCCTCTTGCGGCTGAGAGCTCGAAATGTCCGTTCGGGTCCCCCGTCTGGGCACTCTCCTGGAGCCGTCTTGGGGGCCTCTTGGGCCGTCTTGGAGGCGTCTTGGGCCGTCTTGGGGCCCTCTTCGGCCGTTAGGGGACCCTCTTGGGGGCCTCTTGGGCCGTCTCGGGGCGATCTTGGGGGCCTCTTGGGCCGTCTTGGCGCGTCGGGAAGCGGAAGAGGCAAGAACGCCAAAATCTTTCAAAAACGTAAGGGAAATCTATGAATTTTGCCTCTTGGGGCTCTCGTGGGAAAGCTCCTGGAGGCCTCTTGGGGCGCTTTGCAGGCTTCTTGGGCCGTCTGGAGGCCGTCAAGGCGTCTTGGACAGATCGTTCGGCGATTCGGGATTCTTTTGGACTGTCTTTGGGGCCTCTTAGCACTCGCTCGTCTTGGGGCTTTTGTGGGCTCCGGGACTCCCCCGGGGGGCGTCGTATTTGACCCCCCCCCACCCGGGGACCCCCACCCGGGGACCCCCACCCGGGACCCCTCCCGGGACCCCTCCCGGGACACCCCCCCGGGACCCTCCCCGGGACCCCTCCCTGGGGCTCCCCCCGGGGCCCGGGGGGAGGCTAAATTAGCCCCCTCCGCCCAAGAGGCCGAAATGGCCCCCAAACCACATGAAAATCAATGATTTGTGCCTTCTAGCCAATGCCTTCGTGGACGCTCCAATGGGTCGCGGCCCCCCCCTCCCGTCCGGGTCCAGGGAAGGGGATCGTGGGAGCGGTAAGCCCTTCCCCGATGGGGAAGAGGGAAGCTGGAAGATGAAATTCTCTTAGCCACGCGCGCCCAGAACAGAACAGAACAGAAGCCTTGCGCCGGCCACAGCGCGTGAGCAATGGGTGAAAATGTGCACGGAAACGGATGCCTTCAGCACGCCGCCCATGCCTTGACCGCCTGCTCCCACCTGCGAGCTGCACCGCCCTCTCGGCGGAAGTAATCAGCAAGTCGCTCATGGGAGCCGGCAACATTCAAGCAGTTCTTCAGCACCATGGGCCCCCAAGACTGTCTCGGGCGGCCTCTTCTCCTTTTCCCAAGAAGGCTCTTGAGAACCAGACCGCCCGGCTCAAACACCGAGCTTCTGACTGGATCCTCGTCTGATCTTCTCGCCACATGGCCCATGTACAACATCTGTCTACGCGCAAGACTATGGCTCAGAGGCGTCTGTTGGCTGATCTGCAGAACTGTACGGTTCGACACCCGACTGATGTACGACGGAGAGACTCTGCAAATACGTCTGAGACAATAATTCTGGAACCCGTCGAGCCGCCTTCGCTCGGCCTGGTTAAGACACGCAGTGAATAATACATACGTGAGTTTGGAAACAATGCAAGCATTAAATATACGTAGTTTCTGTCTCCTACTCAAAGTAGAATGCGACCATATTCTTGCAAGCACCTTGAAGTCACTTCTGGCCGCCCCAATTCTCCGACTCAGTTCTGTGCCTATGCGCCCGTCCGCAGCAAGAGACGTCCCGAGATAAATTAATGATTGCTTGGCTGGGATGGGGACCCCGTTGCGTCCCAAAATATCAGCTTCGGTCCTTACTTTCATAAGTTCCAACTTGCCCCAATTGAACTGCAGCCCGCACTGGCCCCCGCACTCCTCAATGCAGCGCATCAGCTCTTGAACGAGGGCTGGGTCGGAGTCTATGAGCAACGTGTCGTCTGCGTACACGAGCTCCCTCGCAAACTGGTTTTCAGGTATCGGTCCGGCACGACTCTGAAGCAGCACGTGCGCGTCCGTGAGAAGCGTCGTCATCACAATGGTGAACAGAAAAGGGGACAGGGGACAGCCTTGGCATATGCCGTACCTCTGCTGATGGATGCTAGACGTGGCCCCGAAGTCCCTCACGACGAACTTGCGCTCGCTGTAAATCGACACGACGACGTCCACGAAAACTTCTGGGCAACCAAATCTCCGCGCGCCCAGAGGGCTGGTGAACTCCCCAAGCAGTACTTGCATTTAGGGGCTCTTGCTTGTGTTCTGAGTTGACTGGGCCCCGGAGTCGGTCTGGTCGGCGCATCGCCACCCGTCGCCCATCGTCGCCGCCGTCGCCGCTGGGCCTCGGTGTCGGTCGGGTTGGCTCGTCGGGCCCAGTTGGTTGCTTTGCGCTGCTTTGCGCTGCATTATTTTGCATCGCTTTGCATTCCATTGCGTTGCGTTGCATTGCGTCGAATTGCTTTGCATTGATTTGCATCGTATTGCTTTGCATCGCGTTGCGTTGAGTTGCATTGCTTTGCATTGCTGTGTTTGCTTTGCTTTGCATTGATAGCGTTGCTTTGTATTGCTTTGCATTGCATTGCTTTGCATTGCTTTGCATTGCTTTGCATTGCTTTGCATTGCTTTGCATTGCTTTGCATTGCTTTGCATTGCTTTGCATTGCTTTGCATTGCTTTGCATTGCTTTGCATTGCGTTGCATTGCGTTGCATTGATTCGAATTGCTTTACATTGCGTTGCATTGCTTTGCGTTGCACTTATTTGCCGTGATTTGCAGTGCTTTGCGTTGCTAGTCAGTGTTTTGCACTGCGTTTCATCGCTTGGCATGGTTTTGCCATTGCTTTGCACTGGTTTGCATTGCCTTGCTTTGTATTGCTGTGCATTGCTGTGCCTTGTTGCGCACTGTTTAGCATTGCTTTGTTTTGCTTCGCACTGTTTGGCATTGCTTTGCATTGTCTGGCACTGCTGAGCATTGCTGGTCATTGCTTTTCGTTGCGTTGCATTGCTTTGCATTGCTTTGCATTGCTTTGCATTGAGCTTTACTGCTTTGCATTATTTTGCACCGCGTATGTTGCACCACACGTATGGCTCCACCTAGATTGCACCGCATTTATTGCACCGCATACATTGCAAGAACTCATTATTTGGGGTCCACGCTGGCTAACATGTTGGTGCTCCCCCACACTCGCGCTCAAGCAGGTTCTTTGGCCAGCTGGCCTCCAGAGAATTACTCGCTTAAGTGACCCGCGCTACCTTGTCTCATATTGTTATTCCTCTCGTGTCAGGGCGTGAGTCCTGACTGATCTTCGCCGTGCCGTCACCACTGCCTGCGCTCACGGACTCGCGCGCCGCAGACGGCGGCCCGTGCCGCGCACACCACAGGAACCAGCCTCGGGAGCCTTGCGACGGGGGTTAACTTCAACGGAGGGTCAGCCAGAGCGCGGGACCTTTCAGGATCCTGTGGATCCTGCGAGTCATGACTGACCCTGGTTCGCAATGACCCAGATCAGTGCGTCCCCGAGAGCGGGTATCCAAACGCCTTGCATCTGGAATCGACGCAGACCCGTTGCGGCCGAAGGTGCCCCCGTGGGGCTGCGAGCTCCCAGCTCCGCGCAGTCCGCTCGCAGCACGCGTTTCTGGTCACGGCGTTCATTTGCAACGGCTGCGGGGTCCTCTGCCTAATCGGTCATGGCCGGCACGCCCTGCTCACGGAAAGGGAGCGACAAGAACAACAGTTTTTGCTTCGAGCGGAAAGAAAGCGACCAGTGGAAAGAAGAAATTGCAGATGGCGTTTCTGGGCGAGTGATCATGATCATTTGGCCGATTGATACTTATCCTGCTGCAGTGTCCTTGGGCATCGCTCGATATTTGCATCCTGCTTGCAGATGAGTGGGCGCGCGTAGTCGGCGCCATTCGGTTGTCTAACCAATTTTTGCAAAAACAAAACATTGTTGATTACGGTCTCCATGCCATCGCGCCCGCCGAGGCGCCTGGGCGATCGCCAGGAGAAGCGCCCACGAATAGACATACAGGCCGAGTTGCAGCAGCGGGCCGTCGGGGGTCGCTTCCCATTGATTTTTCAAAGGGGAACGTATTTTCGTGTCACCATTTGTGAGTATTTTTCTGCCACCCTTCGTGTTGCTGTTTGTGTCGCCTTTCGTTCGGCTTTTCCTTCAGCTAATGCTGCAATGGCTTCCATTCCCTTGGGAAGAGAACAATGCTAGTATGTTGGTACACGCCAACTTGAGAACCGAACAGGTTGGAACATCGTTCTTCCATCTGCGTGAAGGCCGGTGAGCCCTGATTAGCCATGCAATCTTGTGAGGAGGTCGCATTGGTAGGCGCCCCAGCGTTGCGCCGGCGAGTTGTGTGCGGCGCGCGTTGTTTTGTTGGTTTGATTTTGTCTTGTGTCTTCCTTTGTTCGTTTTGATTTACTTTTTGTCGGTGATAGTGCCTGCAGGGAACTGAGGCTGTGACATCGGGGGCAACGATTGGGGGGATAGGCATATGGGAAGTCGCATCGACCCCCAAACGCCCAACGATCGCCGACGGGGGCCCGATAGCCCGAGCCTGCCCAGGAACATGCGGATTCACTATTGGGGCCTATCGCTGATCGATCGGTTGTGCATTGCCGATTTTTGGTCGATGTGTCCCCCCTTCTACCGGTCCCCTCTATCCTTGCCTTTCATGTCAAGGACCAATGACATTTCTCTGCCTCGAGCTGCGCAACATCCAAAGAGCGGCCCCTCGTAAAGAGCTTGGGACGAGTTGACATAGAGGAGGGGCCGGGGGGGATGGCCAGGGTTTGGCCCCGGGTTTGCCGCGGTCGGGCAGGGCGATGGCCTTTGCAGTGCTTGGATCAGTGGTTCGCCTCAGCTGAAGACCGAACGGTTGAGTTACGGCGGTTTTGTTGGTGGGGCATGACCACACATGTGGTCCGACCAGGCCAATTCTCGGGTGTGAAAGAGTATATGCACCTCTACTGGCTCTCCGAAGTGAACCTCGCGCATGGTTGGGCCATCCATTTGTGCATGTCGAGGTCGATCGCACTTTCCTCTCTCCCCTTCCCTCTTCCCTCCATTCTCAGACCTTTGACGTCACGATTTGTTTCGTGCCGCCAGCCCAGGGAGCTCATGACTTTTCCAGGGGGGTGTTTTGTCTTGTCTTTTCGTGATGGTCCAGGGGCTTCCGAAACTGCCCCCCAGAGTCCAGAACCAGATCGAGGAACCGCTGTCTCGATATTTCCATGACGTTGGAGGTTTGGGTTTCTCCTCCCCTCCACCCTCCGTTCCCTTCCCCGCTTCTGCCCTCCCCGCCCTCTCCAGCCGCCTCTGCGGCCGCCACCCGGCCCGGGAGGCCAGCGAGACTGACACCGTCGCCGGTGAGCGCCAGACGCAGGAGGGGAAAGAGGAGAGGGACTCCAAGGACGGGAAGGGGAAGGGGAATGGGCAGGGGGAGGGGGCCGATGGGGAAGAGGAAGGGGAAGGGGAAGGGGAATGGGGAGTGGAAGGGGGAGGGGAAGGGGGACCGGAAGGTGGAGGGGGAAAGGGGGATGAGGAGAAAGAGAGAGAGAGAGAGAACAACAAGTAACAGAAAGAGAGAGAGAGAGGAAAAACCAAAACTCATAAGAAAGAGAGAGAGAGAGAGAGAGAGAAAGAAACAGAGAGTGACGGGGGGGCCGCGCTTTCCATGCAGAGGCTTTGGCACCCGGAGGGTGCGCGCTCTCTCGCCGCTATGTGGTCGACGGGGTGGGCAGCGAGCTCGGAGCCACGACTCGCGCAGAGGGGTAGAGAGTCGGCTGGCCCGCGAGGGGCCCGAGGCCTGGGAGGCATTGTGGCCCCTTGGAGGCTTGGAGGGCATTGTGGCCCCCGAGTATTGTGGCCCCTGGGAGGCTTTGGGGGCATGCAGTGGAGGCGCGCATCCAGAAGTCATACGCTTGTCGTCAGAGTACCCTGGGTTTTTTCGCTCCGCGCGCTGCGCGGTGACTTCCCGCGGCCGTTGAAGAAGGTGCTCCGTACAGGATGCTCGGGTCTCTCCCTCATATGCACCTCGCGCGCGGGTTTTCAGGGCTGGGTTTCCCGCCCGCCCGTTCTGGGATTCACAGGAGCTGCAAGGGAACGGGCATGCTCTCCAGCATGGTCGATGCTGATGGCCACGCGCAGCGCGCCATGCATGCCGACGCAGACGGCCACGCGGCTGAGCTGCGACGCGCACAGAGCCAGTCGACAAGACCACGGGCCATATAGCATAGTAGCAGCGACGATCCCACCGTTCATAGGTCATGCCTGGTGGCATAGCACTGCGACTTGTAAAGGCCAATCGCGCACCAAACACCAATGAAATCACAACAGGGAAACTGAAGCAAGGAGAGGGCACGCTCAAGGGAGCCCTGGTGGAAACGTTCAACAACATTGCATTCTGACTCGCCTACGACTGGTTGCTGGAAACAAAAAGTTGTAAAAGTCATACAGTGGCGTCCCGCAGTGACCCGATAACTGCATGCCCACGGACATCATACCATTCTTGCGCAAGCTCTCCTCCATGCTATCGTGCAGGCGCTTGGGCGACGCGATAGACAGCCGCCGAGACCCCGAGAAAGCAGGATTCCTGCCGAAACAAAGCACGCTCGACCAATTATTTGTTGCAGCAATCGCGCGAGAAATTTCGCGTGAATGGCTCATTTCGTTCTGGACGGCAGTGAAAGATGGATGTGACATCGTTCGACGTTGTAAGGCAGCCGATGCGAGGCCCTCGAAGACCGGCAAATAACAGTTTCATGCATCACCTTGCTTCAGAAGTTGCACCGCCAGCTAGAAGTTCGACGTCGATCGGGGCGCCAAGCAGGGCGACCCGTTGGCGACCCGTCAAATCCCGCGTTGTGCAACAGCGCATCCGAGCACGCAATGCGTCGAATGAGGCAGAAACGGGTGACACAACGATTTGAAAACCAAGAGACTACATCGCGCACCTGCTAGACGATTTCAGCGCTGCAGCCGCAAAGGCAGGTCTACACTGCCACCCCGATGAAATACAGATTTCACATAATGGCCAGGAACCAAAGTGAGCACGACATCCACCAGCCCACGTGTGTGTGTGTCCACGACGTGAAAAGAGAGGAGTGGCCGCATCCCACCATGCCGCCAGCCGAAGATTGAAGGCGTAAATCAACTTCAATGCAGCGACAGCCGCAACATTGAGATTGGACATACAATTTCGCCGCCCTGGCTGCCCGGGGGACGTTTTACCCGCCCAAGCAGGGGCCGACGGGGCCCATCCACCCAATGAACGACCGAACCTGGTTACCCCATGGAGCCGTTGCACCGATTTGCCTACATGGGTGTGAATCGAGGGCACTTACGCGGAACATGTATAACAAAGCTTGGAGAACTCAGCGAGGCATGCTCTGAATGATAGCCGAGACGCACTGGGGAAAAACAAAAGACCTTGCCGGAAACGGATTACGCAATATCGCTGGCAACGTGGGCAACAACATTGAGGACAACGATGCTGGCAACGATGACACTGGCAGAGATGTAGACAGCGCGCCGTCCTCCCCAATTCCTGAGATAGACAGCGACAAGACAGAAGACACATTCGAACCTTGGGCGTCATGGAGCCGACGTGCTGCACAGCAGGCCGAACGTGCAATGTTAAGGCTGACTTTTTCTGGACCAGACAACACTTGTCAGGAAACGAAACAAGTAATGGTCACAGACGGACGCCCTTGGCAACGCGGAGGAATCGGCACGCATGGTATCGCAGTCGGAACCATATCGCGACAGACATAGGCAGGCTCAACGACGAGTGGGACACCGTGGAACAAAACAGTCGGACGACCTTTTACATTATTTAATCGCTTCGCTCATTCCGCCGGCCCATACAGTCTCATGTCTGCCGTTTGCCCGAGGGCCTGGTGTCAATGCGGCGCTTTGGGGGTTCCTGGGGCCGCTTGGGGGACTCCTGGGGCGCTCGGGGGGGCATTTGGGGGGCCTCCTGGGGCCGCTTGGGGGACTCTTGGGGGCCTCCTGAGGGCCCCGTGGGGGCCTCTTGGGGCCTCTTAGGGGCCTCGTAGGGGCTTCTTAGGGCCGAGGGCTCGAAATGTTGTTTCGTGTTCCCTCTCTGGGGCCCCTTTGGGGGCGTTCTTGGGGCCCTCTTGGACCGTTTTGGAGGCTTCTTGGGCCGTCTTCGAGCCCTCTTGGGCCATCTTGGGGCCCTCTTGGGTGCCTCTTGGGCCCTCTTGGGGCGATCTTGGGGGCCTCTTGGGCCGTCTTGGGGCGTCGGGAAGCCGAAAAGGTGGAAGCTCCAAAATCTCTCAAAAACCTATGGAAAAACAATGATTTTTGCCTCCGGGGGCCCTATTGGGAGTGCTCTTGGAGGCCTCTTGGGGCGTCTGGGGGCTATCTTGGGCGTCTTGGAGCGATCTTGTGGCATGTCGGACCCCTCGTGTACCATCTTGGGGGCCTCTTGGGGGCCTCTTGGCCTTTCTTGGGGCTCTCGGGGACGTCTCGGAGCCCTGTTGGTGCGCTCATGGAGCGCTCGGGGGGACCCGGCCGGGACCCGGCCGGGGACCGGCCGGGACCTGGTCGGGGTACTTTTCGTCCGGGGACCCCCAGGGGCCGCCCCGCGCGCGCGAACTAGAAAATTGTTAACCAGTTACCGGAGATCTTAGCACGCCTCTGGCCCGTTGGGCCGGCGAATTTAGTCGCTTCGCTCATTCCGCCGGCCCTGGAGCGCTATTTGGGGTCTCTCGTGGCCGTCTTGGGGGCTTCTTGGGGGCTTCTTGGGAGCGTCTTGGGGCTCCTTGGCGGCGTACTGGGCTCCCCTGGGGCCTCTTGGGGGGCTCTTGGGGGCCCTTTGGGGCGGGAGGGCGGGTAGTCGATTGCAGCCCACCCCTCGGAGGCCACGATCCTCGTGAGGGGTGGCGAAAAATAGCTCCCCCCCTGGGGATTGCCCGGGACCCGGCCGGGGATCTTTCGTCCGGGGCCTCCCAGGGGCCGCCCCGCGCGCGCGAACCAGAAATATTGTTAAGTAGTTACCGGAGATCTTAGCACGCCTCGGGGCCGGCGAATTTACAGCATCGCGTCCCATACGCACCCAGGAGGGCGACAGGTCTGCCGCATCCGTCGAAAACGGATGTGTGGGACAAATTGAAGCCCAGGTGTGTAAGTAATGGTTGTTCTATGCCTGCGCTATGATACATGTTGGCGCTAGCTTGTATTCAGCACTGCGTGTCTCTCCGATTCTTGCCGCCCGTGTCTTCCCGACTCAGGCTTCAAGTGCAGCGTCGGTTCTCCGGGTTCAGCTCCCGCCCCTCCGACTCCAGCTCTCATGCCGTTGATTTTGGTTTCCCACTCCTGCCTCCACCTTCGGACTCCCACGTTCCCATTTCTGGTTTCAAATGATTGTTTTCCTGCTCCGGCCCTGGCTGTTCTAGTTTCAAACGGCCAGAATCAATCCTTCTGTTACCGGCTGCAATATCCGACTCAAGTTTTCATTTGTCTGACTCCAGCTACATCGGTTACTTTTTCGACTCCAGCGTCAGTGAACCGATGTATGCGCCGCGCTCCCACGCGCGACATCGACCTCGCCCCTTGAGTGGCCATGCTGGCGGCCTGGCGCCCACCCGTTGCATCGGCACGGGCATAGGTGAATATACGAGGCTGTCTTGTCTTGTCTTGTCTTGTCTTGTCCTGTCCTGTCTTGTCTTGTCTTGTCTTGTCTTGTCTTGTCTTGTCTTGTCTTGTCTTGTCTTGTCTTGTCAGTTCTTCTTTCCCTCTCCTGTTCCCTTCTCGTTTCCCGCTCTCTTGGGCCCCGCGCTGGACGCCGTGTCTGTGCCCCCTTATGAGATATTCCCGACACTTGTTACGAACGTGGCCATGGTAATCACGAGGAGGGCACGATGGAGGTGGGAAGTGGTGCGCATCCACAGGTTATTGCCGGAGTTGTTTCAACTGACTCGGCCGTTTCCCACGGGGGGCTTTCTTCAAGTGCCCTTCGACAAGGATAGCCCCGCTGAGGGCCGACGTCCGCGGCCAGCGCGGCTTCGAGGGCCTGGCCCCAATCGGCAAGCACGATAGTAAGGTGCCACCTTGGCGGCAGGCTGCATTTTGTGCAGCGCAGACACGGTGGGGCCACCAGCTCAGAACGCGCGCCTTCCAGTCCTACAGGGAAAGTTCTTGGTATTGCGCACCACACTCATTAATGCATGGTGTTCACGGCCTGGAGAACACCTGGTCTTCCTCGAGCCAGTCTGCCGTGCATGGCGTCCAGTGGCGCATACGTACGTCTCCAGCGATAGTGCTCCGGCTTGGCGCGCGTGCGTCGGCCGTCGAGGTCGAAGCACGCTGTCTTACAGCTGGCAAGCACGCGCTGAACTTACCGAGGCTTTGCTCACCGCCAGGACCAGAGGAAGGGCCAATGGGAGGCTGGCAGCCCGCGTCGGGTTTCCGCAGGCTCCCAGGTATCTGCTTCTCAGAGCGGGATTATCCTCACAGCTGCTAATGGAGTGCTAAGGTGTTCGACTATTGACCCCTTGTTGAATGCATCCATCCAGCTTTCGCGCCGAATACCGCTGGAAACCGCCAGAGACCGCCGGAGAAACTGCCGAAGACCGTCAGAAGACCGCCGAAGACCGCCCGAAGACCGCCAAAGACTGCCGAAGACGGCCCCACACATTCCCCGCTAATGTCCCACCGATGCTCTGCTCATGGCCCACGAATGGTTTCACTTATGGCCCAGCGAATGACCCACGAATGAATTCTGCTCACCTATGAACTTGACCCAGTAATGACCCACATATGGCCCACGCATGACCTGCGCATGACTTATGACACATTGCCGGCCCATGAGTGATCTTCGAATGGCTCGCTTCTCACGTTTCTTTCTCGTTGTCGCGATTGCAGAGATCAGCAGTGCCAAATCAGGCGGTCACTGGCGTGCTATTAGCCAGGTCCGGCTGCAGTGTTGTCGACAAGTTCCCACGAATCATCGTTCACAGCGGACGTCTCGAGATAGACAGTGGGATTCGCCACCAAATGATGTGAACGCGTTCGTCACTCAGGTGAACCATGTCTTCCTGTTGCCGTGGGCTGCAGACAGGAGTGCAGTGCACCAGAAGGTGTTCCATGAGATGCCACGCCCAGGGCGCCTCTGGTAGAGGAATCAAGGACGGTGTTGCGCAGACGCATACCTCCTCTTGCCCGTACACTTCCGACTTGGGAGTATGAGACGGTCCGACCAGCGATCCCATTGTTGAAGGACCTTCCGCCGAAGAGCACGCGCGATGGGCCGTGCAGGAAGTCGCCGCGGCCCTCGGTGTTCTCACAAAATGCACGATAAGAATGCATGGATCTTCTGATGGAGGCACACGATATCTGACGCGCCGCTGCTCGAGTTAACACAATCCTTAGGAACTAGGAGGATCCCACGCGAATGCGACGTTCACTCCACTAACGAATTGGCTCGACACGTAGGTCACGCAGATAACCTCGAACCTAATCTCTCATCAACGTCTTTACCCAACACATAGCGATGCCATGTGGCACCATAAACGGAGATACATGGATGACACACCCATTCTCTGGAGGAGACGATCAAGCTGCCCTTTTAGCATGGATCCGTGGGATTCGTTATTGACAATTTTATATGTGACGTCTGCCGCACGTTTCGGATAATGCGGAAACATTTGGTCGATGCAAGTTGGGGAGCCGCATGCAATGCGCGCGACAAGTATGGAAGCGAATGAGAGATGCATAGCGGCAAACATAACCAGGTGACCCATTTTTCCGTGTAGTTGTTTGGGAAAAAGGTGATGTAGCGGGTACGATCGGTGAACGGTTAATTTGGGTATTTGGTCTCTGGAGCTCAGGGTAGTAGGCGTTGTCGAATGGTTCTCAGGAGAGTTGGGTCACCGTCGAATCATCCCAGGGCTAGCCAGCGGGTTCCGCCAGCCACGTCGTCAGGAGCAGGGGCGACGTCGCACTCCGCCTCCAAACCGCAGGGGTTCGCCAAACTTCCGATGTTTTGGGCCCTCCGAGCCCGTGAGGCCCATTTGGTTGCACGTGGGGCCGCACGCACGCACGCAGGAGCCGCGCCTTGACGGCGGCAGAGCACATAAGGCTGTAGGGTTCATGCAGGGAGGCGGAAGAGGAGGGGGAAAGACAGAGCCGCCGCGGGCCTCAGTTTGCAGAGCGCGTTCAGGAGACAGTTGAGCGCCCTAATCGTGGTCGCTCCGATGGCGTACGCTTGGCTTTCCGTAGCAGCTGCGTGTGCGTGATCGTAGATGTGGGTCCTAATGTGTTGTCTCAGAGATGGCGCAGCGAGGCGAGGCCTTGGGGCTTCGCTGCCGTCAGGTCGCGCCAGTGCTCGCCCGTGTCAATCCGCGTGGTGTTGTTTTTTGCCATGTACGAACCCATACAATATGTACGTGGTGCTCAACGCCCCGACCACGCCCAGGGTGTTTGTATCCGCATTTGATGTGTTGTTGCAGATGTCTGTCCTCCCGCAAGCGGGAGATTCGGGCCATGGGCGCGGTCCAGCCAGGCAGGGGGGCAAGGTGGTGGTGGTGGAGGTGGTGATATTGACGAAAGTGGTGGTGGAATAGATGAAGATGTCGAAGGAGGAGGAGGATGGCGATGATGATGATGATGATGATGATGATGATGATGATGATGATGATGATGATGATGACGATGATGATGATGATGATGATGGTGATGGTGATGGTGATGGTGATGATGACGATGCTGCTGCTGCTGATGATGATGGCGACGACGACGATGATGATGATGATGATGATGGCGATGACGATGATGATGATGATGATGAGGATGTCGATGATGATGATGTTGATGGTGATGGCGATGGCGATGATGATGATGATGATGATGATGCGCGTATGATGATCACGATGACGATGGCGATGACGAGGCTGGTGATGATTCTGATGCTGGTGATGCTGATGATGATGATGACGATGCTAATGCTCATGGTCACGATGTTCATGATGATGCTGACGATGCTGATTATGATGTTGCTGATGATGCTGATGCTGATGCTGATGCTGCTGATGCTGCTGCTGATGATGCTGATGCTGATTGTATTGAAGATGATGCTGATGATGATGATGACGATGATGCTGATGCTGCTGATAATGATAATGATGATGGTGATGATGATGAAGATGATGATGAAGATGATGATGATGATGATGATGATGATGATGATGATGATGCTGATGCTGATGCTGATGCTGATGCTGATGCTGATGATGATGATGATGATGATGATGATGATGATGATGATGATGATGATGATGATGATGTTTGCGGCGGTGGCGATGACGACGTTGGTTCTGCTTATGGTGACGATGGTGATGGCAGCGAAGGTGATGGTGCTGATGACGACGAGGATGATGGAAAAGGGGAGGAGGGTGGGGTTTCCTCCTCCCTTCTTGTGTCAGCGGCGGCACCCGAGACAGGTGACCTGGGCGGACGGCCTCTTCCGGCCTACTGGCAGCAGCCTGGCAAGCCGGGTCCGTCTTACGCCCAAGGCACGTCCGCGTCGTTGCCGTCGTCGTCTTCGTCCATCGTCCCGCTTCGTTGGTGCGAGGGCAGGCGCATCTAACGCCTCTCGCTCCCTCCTCGCTCTCCCTCCTTTCCTGCCTTCCTCCCTTCCTCCCTTCCAACATGCTCCCTCCCTCCCTCCCTCCATGCCTCCTCCACTTCCCTCTCCCTGCTCCTCCCTCCCTGCTCTTCCCTAACTACTCTTTTTCCCTGCTCCTCTCCATCCACTTTCCTCTTTTTTGTTACCTTCTTGCTTCGTACGTTAATGCGAATTTCTCTCTCATCCGTCCTCCGTCCTCCTTCTGTCTTCCCTCCTTGCTCCCTCTCCCTCACTCCTCCCTGATCGACCTCAGAAGCGCAAAAAGTATCGCGGATCGGGTAGGCTGACCTGAGGGGAGGGAGGGGGGAGGGGGCGAGGGAAGACGACGGGGGGGGGCGTACGGGAGGGGCGAGGATAAGAAGGAGCGGGCAGAGAGGGGGCGGGAGCAGAGGGGAGGGAGGGAGGCATGGAGAAGATTTTTGGGGGGGAGGGAGAGGGGAGGAAAGAGGAATCGGACGGGGTGTGAGCGACCGGCGGGGACCACGGCAGGGCCAGGAAGAGGGGCGGGGGCGCGATTGATGCGGGTGGCTTCGGACAGGGGACAGGGGAAGAGGGAGAGGTCGAGATTGAGGGTGGGAGGAGGAGAGTAACAACAGAATTTAACAGATAGGAGGGATAGGGAGGATAATGGGGGGTTGAAGAAGCAGGGAGAGCTTGGCCAGAGGACGGGCCGTGACAGCTCCTCGGCTGGGTCCGCCCGCTGGCCACGACTCCTCATGCGACAATGCACCGTGCAGCGTCCGCGCCGCAGGACCAGGCGAAGGACTTTGGGGCGGGATGATGATTATGATGAGGGTGCTGAAGAGTTGCAGGATGAAGCGGGAGATGAGGACCAGCGGCCGCATCGGCAGTCGTTGCTGCGGCTGCCGAGCAGCGGCGGTCGCGGCGGCGGTCGCTGCGACTCGTGGAGAGTGCGGAAGGTGGTGATCCGAAGCAGGAGGTGTGGAGTATAGACAGACTTGGTGTCTATACTGCACATCTCCTGTTTCGAGGGGGAAGGGGGAGGGGGCGGGGGAAGGTGCAGAGGACGAGGAGGAGGAGGAGGACCAGTGTAAAGACGCATCAACGATGTTGCAATACACCCTCCCTCCACGTTTCCTCGTCATAGGTTCCAAACGAAATTCGTTGACATTGCGGTAAGTGGCCCATTAGAGGATTACCGCCCGATAAACCATTAACCGTGCCAGAACTCCTCTTCTAGGACTGCAGCGCCGCGAATCAACGTGAATGTTGCTTCCTGGCAATCCGATCCGTGACAGAAAACTGCCTCTTGGACTTCTGCACTGCGAGTTAACGTGACTGTTACGTCCTCACAATCCTAAACCTTGCCAGGAAACTTGTTCCTGAAATTCAACAGTGCGAATCATTGAGATGACTGGAAACATTGAAAACGAATGTGCGCAGCGCTAAGGCGAGAACCACCCATTGGAGGTCATCTGTGAAGCTACAAACTTTTAAGACCAATGTGCGCGGCGCTAAGGCGAGAGCCAATTTTAGAAATCCGCTCGACCTCCAACCGTGAAAACGTTGCAGCTTTCGCGCATCTGGATCATCGATGACGAGGAAGGCTCAGCCGAAACGCCTTGCCCGCCTCACCGACATGTCTGAGGGTGCGACAGTGAGGAGCTACTTCTGAGGAAGAGGGTGACCAGGCGCCGCGGGCGCCAGAGAACGGCCGCCGTCATCTTTGTCGCCGCCGGCGTCGCAGTCGGCCTCGTCACCACTGTAGCCGGCGTTGGCGGCGGAGGAGGAGGAGGAGGAGGAGGAGGAGGAGGAGGAGGAGGAGGAGGAGGAGGCGAGGAGGGGCGAGGAGGAGGCGGAGGAGGAGAGAGCCGGCGGCGGGCCTGCCTCGCGCCCCAGAGGCCTCCTCGTTCGCCGACGGCGGCGCGGGCGCGCACCGGGCCGCCGCGCGCGGCGGGCACCTGGGGCTGCGGCAGCAGATGGGCGCAGCCCGCGCGGCCGCGCCGCCGGGCGGCGCGCCGGGGCGGTAGAGCGCGTGCGCGGCCCTCGGCCGCGCCGGGGCGCTCTCGGGCGGCGCGCCCGCCCTGGGCCGCTCGAGGCCGCGCGGGCGTCGAGCAGTGGCGAAGCGTCCTGGCTTGCCTGTGGGCCCACCACGGGATGTTCTCAGAACCTTTTTGTGGTCTGCGCGGGAGCTTCTCAGAGCCTGTCTGGCCAAGGCCGTCTCGTTTTGACGCGTCGGGCTCATGTTCTAGGAACATGCTTTCTGTTCTGAGCAAATGTTTGGGTTTTAGGATCATTTCCCGGTAGACCTAGAGGAATGCGGGGACGGTCGGCCCCTGCTCAAGACTGGGGTCAGAATTAGCAGATGATGTCGGAGGGTCGCGCCGCACCGAAGATGCAGTGGCACTGTGGCCCGATTCGGAGCCCAGCGTTCTCGACACCCATCCCGACGCCGCCGATGCCTCGCCGCATCGCCGCATCGATGCAGCGGGCGGTGAGGCGCGACCCTCCGACCCAGCCTGCTCCGGCCCCACCTTGGCGGCCTCCAGCCGAGCGCAGCCGCCCGTGCCTCTGCCTCGGCCGGGGGCGTCGGAAGCAGCCGCTTGTTCGGCGTGGTACAGTCGTCTCGCATGGTCAGGATGAGCGACTGTGCAAGGGTACCTGCCCTTTTTCGCATCCTTGCCCCTCAGGCCCAGCCCGAGCGGCCTTCGCTGGCCAAGCTCGCTCGGAAAACGTTCACATGGCCCCCCAGGCCAAGTCCCTGGCATCCTTACCGCGCATCCTTATTGCACGGGTTTTACTGTATGGGGGATGGGGGGGGACAAAGGCGACAGGGTGGAGACTGGTCCAGAGGGGGAAACGATCGACCCCCGTCGCTCATTCGTCGCCGATGCGGGGCTGCGGGGCCCACCCCGCCCCGGCACGTGCGGCCTCGCTGCCGGCGGGCCTGTCGCCCACCAGTCGGCGGTGCCTCGCAGATTCCAGCTGATGCTGCTGCTGCTGCTGCTACTGCTGCTGCTGCTGCTGCTGCTGCTGCTGCTGCTCGTCCTCCTCGTCCTCCTCCTCCTCCTCCTCCTCCTCCTCCTCCTCGTCCTCCTCCTCCTCCTCTTCCACTTCCTCCACCAGCACCGCAGATTTCAGCGGTATTTCCCCCCTCCCTATTGCCTTTCTGTCGGCCTCCTGGGGAAACCAAACATTCCGATACCGCTACCCCCGGACCTCTCCCTTCGGTGCGTTCCGGCCCGGATTTCGGGGCGAAGCCAGCGGTGGCCACGAGGGCCACGAGGGCATCCGGGGAGGCCCCACGAGGGGAGAGCTGCCGGAAGGGTGGAGGTCTGGGTACCTTTTCCTCCTCCGACCTCGCCCCCAGCTCCCCAGCTCTCCTTCGGTCGCCCTCGGCCGCGCTGGCCACGCCTCCGCGCCGGCCACGCCTCGGGCGAGCGCGCCGAGCCGCTCGCGCGCCAACAGCTCGCGAGAGGGCTGGGCTGGCTTCGGCGCGGGAGGGCGGCGCCGGTCCCGGGGTGGGTCGTCCTGGACAAGGCGCGCGCGCGCGGACGCCTGGGCCAGGTCGTTGTCGTCGTCGTCGTCGTCGTCGTCGTCGTCGTCGTTTTGGTCGCGGTCGCCGTCGTGCTCGTCCTCGTCGTCGTCGTCGTCGTCGTCGTCGTTGTCGTTCTGGTGGTCGTCGTCGTAAGAGGAGGAGGAGGAGGAGGAGGAGGAGGAGGAGGAGGAGGAGGAGGAGTAGGAGGAGGAGGAGGAGGAGGAGGAGGGAGGACCTCCGACGTCGTGATTTTTCTGGACCTCTCGACCTTTTCCCGCGGGCCGGCGTTCCATCCTGGATTGTTTTTTGACGGGGTCGGGTCTCCCCTGGGCGCCGAAAGTTTCGAACATATGTCCTGTTGTGATGTGTTCAAGACCTTGGAGATCTGGGTCCAGGGTCGAAATCGCTCCCTGGAGCTTGTCATGAAGTGACTTCGAAGGGGAATCCAGCCGTGACCACGAGGGCTCTGTAAGAGGCCCCCGAAGAGCACCTTCGATTCGCCACAAAATAAATTGACACCCTACAATGGATTGTTCCTGGGCCTCAGGGGAGGGTGGCGGTGTATACATCACCACTGGCAGCCAGCGACTTCACGCTGTCACTCTCCCTGATGGCACAGGCAGAGTTCGTCGGAGGGTGTCTGCGTATATATTTCAGTGGCGTATCGATCCTCGATCCTCGAATCTCCATCCATGCTTCCGCCCTCCTCTCCTCGTGCCGCTCCCTGGTGTCGGCGGCAGGCTGCCTGCCCGGTGTGCGCCCGCCCGGCAGCTCGAGGGGGGGGAGGCGGGCGCGAGGGGTCCCAGGTTGGCGCCCCAGCTGGGGCGCCGTCGGCGCCGAGGCGTCGGGGTGGTAACAGAGGTGCTCCTGGCCCAAGCCAGCTCTCCCAGATGACGTTTTCTATCCCAGCGTTATCCTTCAATCCCGGCAGTTCTCTTTGGGAAGGGGTCGAGACCTCCTGGGGCGGGCGGACGGAACGATACACAGGGTCTGCAACAAATGGCAACATCAACGGGCCCATGCTAGACGAATGAAGATGTGAAAGGGCACGCAATCCTGTGTGAAAGCAGCATAGGGGGTCTATGCGTTCCACGACCCCCTGGGAGTGATTGGATGCAATAGCGTGGGAGGTAAAGGGGTGGGTGAGGGGAAGACTGCCGGATCGAGAGCAGAGCAGAGGAAAAGCAGTGTTCTCTTCAAAGCGAGGGATCAACGCAGCAGGGCTGGGAATCCGTCCGTGGGGTGTTCAGGAGCTGTTCCCCGCGGCTGCCTGCGGCCCTGGACGAGGCCCCGAGGGGGCGCACGATGCCCAGAGGCGCCAGGGGCACTTCTGTCAGCGCTCGAACGCAAAGCCGCCACAAAAATAGATACACGGACATCCTCAGGTGGATTGCTCCTGGTCCTCCAGGGAGGATGACGGTTTATCACTCACCACTGCAAGCCAGCGATTTTTACACCGCCGGCCTCCCTGAAGATACATGCGAGATCCGTCGGAGGGTGCCTGTGTGTATTATATATACATATATATAGATATAGATAGATAGATTCATTCATTCGTGGCGTGAAGGAGGCGGCCGCCGCGCGCAATGGACGCGGACACCCGGAACCACGAGGTGTACTTCGCCACCCTCGCCGAGCAGGCCTTGCCGCCGCTCGCGCGCCCACGCCTGGTCTTCGCGCGGCCGGCGGCGGCTCGGTTGCTCCGCAGCCGCGTCGCCGCGTTGCCTCCCGTTCCGACGGTCGCGGACAAGCTGCGACAGTCTTATTCCCAACCATCCTGTGGTGTTGGGTCCTCGTTTTGAAGAGGCAGCGCCCCGCGTTCTTCCTCCTCCTCCTCGCCCCTCCTCCCCATCCTCCCATCCTTGCCTCTGCCCTCTGCACCCACAACAACGCTTCGTGGCCCCATAAGGAGCTCCACCGAAGGCCCCAGTGTCTGTGACAACATGCGTTCCACGCCACCCAGGACAGCGTTTCGTGGCCCCGTAAGGAGCTCCTCCGAAGGCCCCAATGGCCATTTTGGTTCAAGTGATCGCATGCCTTGCCTGGGTCGGTCGTCCGCAATGTCTGCTCGTGGCGAGACTGGAGGGGTTTTGGCTGTGGCCGATGGCGCTGTGCTCGTCGTAGCTGCCGTCCGTGCTGCGGTCAACTCTGCACTGCGGGCGCGGTGACGCGCTCGGCCATCTCCGCCGTGGCGTTCGCTGTGGGGTCGAGGGCGGCCGAGCCCACTGCCGCTGGTGGTGCCGCGTGGGTTGGCGACAGAAACGCAGAGCGGAGCCGTCGGCGACGCGCTGCGCTGAAGGTGACGCGGCAGGAGGGCGGGCGCGGCGCGGCCGCCGCGGAACTCCTTGCTGGACGTGAAGCTGGACATGCGAGTGGTGCTGAGCAGGCGCGGGCGGAGCCTGCGGCGGTGAGTCGGGGTGCCTCCACGCGCGCCGCGGCGGCGGCGCTTACGGAACTCGCGGGGACACCATGGACGACCATACGGCCAGCCTCAACGGCGAGTGGGCCGACGCCCCGATGCCCCCTGCGTGGCGGCGGCGGCGGCGGCGCGGGGCCTTTCGTGGCGCGGCTTCGGCGGTGGCGGAGCAGGGCGCGGCGACCGCGGGTGCGGCGCCTGCGGCTGGCGGAGCTGCAGTTGCTGGGGCGTTCCCCAGTCGCGAGTTGCTTGGAGCTCCAGTCGGCGGCGAGGCGGGGATCGCCGAAGCGGGCGGCCTAGGCCCTCGGCCCCGCGGCCGCAGCGGCTTCGAAGGGCGGCGTCGGCGCTCGCCGACGGCCTCCTGCGCCAGGCGCCGGGGTGCATTGGGGAGCAGAGCAGGTGGCGGCGGGGCCCGCGCCTGAGGCGCTGGGCGGCCGCGCTGGCCTTGTGGTAGTCCTCGACTTCGCATTCGAGGTCTTGGGCGGCTTGGGCGGATCGGGCGGACGACGTTCTCAGCGAGCACCGCGCAGACCATGAACAACAAGACCCCGGCGACTGTGATCACGTGCGCCCCGCGCCACCCGCAACGGCGCTTCGTGGCCCCAGTAGGGAGCTCCAGCGATGGCCCCAGCGGCTGTGACCACGTGCGTTCTGTGCCACCCAATACGGCACCTCGTTGCCCCGCAGGGAGCTCCACCGAAGGCCCCAACGACTGTGACCATATGCGCCCTGCGTCACCCAATACGAAATTTCGTGGCCCCGTAGGAAGCTCCACCGAGGGCTCCAGTGGCTGTGACCACATGTGTCGCCACCCTGCACGCCGTTTCGTGGCCCCGTAGGGGGCTCCACCGAAGGCGGCAGCGGTTGTGACCACATGCGTCCCGCGCCACCCAGCACGGCGCTCCGTGACCCCATAGGGATGTCCACCAAGGGCCACGGTGGCTGTTACCACATGCGCCCCGCGCCACCCGCTACGGCGTTTCGTGGCCCCGCAGGGAGCTCCGCCGAGTGCGTCCCGCGCCACCCAGTACGGCGCTCCGTGGCCCCATAAGGGAGCTCCACCGAAACCGCCAGTGGCTGTGACCGACGCGTCCCGCGCCACCCTGTACCGCGTTTCGTTGCCTCATGTAGAGCTCCACTGAAGCCCCTTGTGGCTGCGACCACGTGCGCCCCGGGCGTCCCAGTGCTGCGTTTCGTGGCCCTACAGAAAGCTCCGCAGAAGACATCAGTGGTTGTGACCACGTGCGTCCCTCGCCACCCTAGGGAGCTCCACCGATGGCCTCAGTTGCTGTGACCACGTGCGCCCCGCGCCACCCCCCAGTGCGGCGCTTACCAGCCCCATGTAGGTAGCTGCGCCGAAGGCCCCAGTTGCTGTGACCACATGCGTCCCGCGCCACCTAGCGCGGCGCTTCGCGGCCCCATCGGCTAAGGACCTCCACCAAAAAACAGTGGTTGTGACCACATGCGTCCTGCGCCCCCCTGTACGGTGCTTGGTGGCCCAATAGTGAGCTCCACCGAAGCGTCCCGCGCCACCTAGCGCGGCGCTTCGTGGCACATAGGGACCTCCACCGAAGGCACCAGTGGCTGTGACCGATGCGCCCCGCGCCACCCTGTACGGCGCCTAGTGACCCCATATTGAGTTCCACCGAATACCCCAGCGGCTTTGACCACATGCGCCCGGCGCCACCCAATACTGCGCTCCGTGGTCCCAAAGGAACTCTGCCGAAGGCCCCAGTGGCTGTGACCACGGCGCTTCGTGGCCACATGTGCCCCGCGACGCCCAGTACGCGGCTTCGTGGCTCCATAGGGAACTCCACCGAAGGCCCCAGTGGCTGTGACCACGGCGCTTCGTGGCCCCATAGGAAACTCCGCCGATATATCGCGCGTTTGTGACCACATGCGCCAGGCGCCTCACAGTATTGTGTTTCGTGGCCCCACAGGAAACCCCACCGAAGGCACCACTGGCTGTGATCACATGCGTCTCCCCCCGCCCATTTCGGCGCACCCATCACGCGTTTAGTGGCCCCACACGGAGCTCCACCGCAGGCCCCATTGAAGACGTTCGCATGCGTCACCCCCGACCATTTCGGCATGCCCCTCGCGCGTTTTGCGGCCCTTACGGGAGCCCCACCGAAGGCCCCAGTGGCGAGGTTCACATGGGGTCCCCGCTGCATTTCGGCACACCACTCGCACGCTTCGTGGCCCTTCCGCCGAAAACCCCAATGGCTGCCCCCGCATGCGTCCCCGCCTTATGTCGGCACACCCTTTACATGCTTCTTGGCCCCATAAGCATTTCCACCGAAGGCGATACCCACAACGGCGATACTCACAACTGCATGCGGTAGGGCCCTTCGCCCAGATAGTTACTTGTTTTGTTGAGAGGGCCGTGGGGGCGTGCTTCGGGCGCCAGGGCCGTCAAACACATTGTTGGCGGACGAGCACGTCCTGACGTCGGGTTTCTGATTCTTCCCGCGTTCTGTAAAAAAGTCAATGCGGCGTTTTGTTTTTGAGCGGTATTGGATTATTGTAGTGGCCTCCGGCCAGTGCCGCCGATCCGGGGCGCTCCCAATGGTGGGGCCGTCTTGGGGCCCTCTTGGCGCCGCCGTAGGAGGCGAGGGGATTTTGAAGTTTCTTGGGCTTCT